CGACGATGCGATTGAGCAAAAGTCAACGTGACGCGTGACATAGTCGCGCCGGTTGTCCGCCGTCACGGAAATCTCTCCGCCGTTGGGGACAAGCTCGTACGTGACAACTTCGCCAAAGTTATCGGTCGAGACAGCAAACGTGAGCGCCAGATCAGTCACCTCGTCGGCAGGGCAAGAAAGCAGGTACTTGAGATTGCGATAGACGTCCGGATCGACCTGCTCGAGATCTTCGAGAACGGGTATGCGGTTGAGCAGCTTCTTGTACAAGACGGACGGGAAGGGCGCGTCGATAATGATCGAGTTGTAGATGGCCAAGCTGAACAGCATGCCGATGAGCCGGAACATGTGCTCGGCCTCGAAGGAATGGCCGCTAAACCATAGCAGCCGGGTCCTCGGATTCGACACGAACATGCCGTACTTGGGGTCCAGGATTTCACGCAAGAGCAACTGCAAAAATTCCTTCCGCACGCCACCAGCATCGACACCGTCCTCGCCAACAAACTGCACTTTGAGGGGCTTCTTGAGCTCGGAGGGCTGGATGCTCATGATTTGGTCCAGGGTGTCTTGCACCAAGTTGTTGCGCCGGACAGAGAGGCCAAGAATGTAGGACGCTGGCAAGTGGGCAAGCACGTTCATGTAAAAGGCCTCGTGTGCCTTGCGCGCCATTTGGTTTTGCGCATCGATCTGCAGCAGCTTGGCCTTGGCATCGGCATCGTAAAAGAAGGCGTACTGGCAAAACGAGAATGTTTGGGGAACTGTGCACCACATGGCATAGTCGTCCACCAGCGAAATGCTTGAGCAGACGGTGGAGTTGTTGAACGCCTTGCGAGGGACGATAGTTTGGCCGATCGAGCTCAGAACAACATCGGAATTGAGTTGCAGTGCATGCGAATGTTCGTCATGGACAGACCAGCCCAAAGTCGCGCCTTCACCGCTCTGTTTGCTCAATCCCAGGGGCGGAGTCTCCTTGGTGAGCTTGGAGAGTGCATTGGTCATGGCCCGCGAGGCAGTTTCCAGCGAGGTAATGTTCACGGTGCGATTCGACCACTGGGTGAGCGACGTTCGAAGTTGGTTGGGACCGTCAGCCGCCACGGCGCTCCCAAGGACAGAGGCGCCACCAGCAGACACCTCGTTGAGCGAATACAGCATTTCAATGAGGCGAACAGCGCGCACAAGGGTTTTGTACCGCGTCGTATCCGGCATTGTCTTGTCTTTGAAGCGCGCAGTGTCAATCAGGTGAGAGAGGAAGCGCTGGTAGACGGCCACCTGTCGGAGAAAGAACTTGGCCGGCAACAAGTACCACCAATAGCGAAGGAGCTCTTGGACGCGGGGCACAAACTCGAGAATCTTCAGGGAAATCGCGCTGAGCATTGTCTCCGCGGTCGGAGTGAGCGAGGTGGCAAAGACGGGAGCCTCGAGCAGAGTCAAGAAGAGTTTGCACGTGTCGAGGTTGGAGATGGGCATCTGGGACAGCGACACAACGAGCGATAGCAGGGCTTTGCTGCAGACATCGTTGACCGTGGTGTTGCCGATAGCGCGAAGCGCGTCCCAAAATAGGCGCACGTGCTGAAGGCAGAGTCCCGATGGGTGGTCGTCCGTGCGGCTGTCCAAATGGCCAGCATGCTCCGGTGAGGAAAGGGATGCAATGCCCGTATCGGGCGCGTCGAAAGGGACGAAAGGTTGGCTGGACGAGCCTGATGCAGAGTCTGATGCAGCGCCTGATGGTTGACCCTCGATTTGCATTGGCGCTGGCGCTGGCGCTGGCGCGGGGTAGGCTGACGGTGCGCTCTTTAGCGCGGTGGCAGCGGTGTCGACAACGGCGCCAAACGCGCGTGCTGCATCGGCCGTGTTGGAAGCAGCAGACGGTCCGAGCTCTTGGCCAGGCTCGTGCGCAAGGAAGGAGCCGTTGAGGCAAGAGGCCGATGACAACGCCACCTGAAGCGTGCGAGTGAGGGCAGAGACGTCCTTGGAAGCCGCGGCGTCCGCCAGCAGCTTTCGAACAAGAGGAAGCGTCAAGACGAGCGGAGACTGCGACGCTTGGCGATGTCGAGCATCCCATGGCAACTGTGCCGATTCTGCTGCGCCGACATGGTTGCGGTTGCCAACAACGGCAAAGCAGTGTGAGGCGCTCGCACCAGTCGCAATGCGCAGAATGGGAGTTGCGTCCAAGACGCGAACCAGCATCGGGGTCAACACGTGTTGCTGCGGCTCGACGCCGACTCCCGTGCCCAGCTGCCCGTTGCCACCGAGGCCAAACGCGTAGATTTTGTTGGTCTTGGGGAAGAAGACGATGGTGTGACGCCGCCCGCACAGCACCTGCGACGCCGACTTGCCCATCAGCTCGAAAATCATGCGCGGATTGATCTCGTTCTGTAGGGTGCCATGGCCAAGCTGGCCTTGGCCGCCGGCACCGAACGAGTATACGCCGCCTGTCTCGGTGAGGACAACCGAGTGATCCTCGCCGCATGCAATGTGCGCGCAGAATTGGTGCTCCAGCGTCTTGAGGCGTGATGGGATGGTGTGCGGAGCAGTGTCTCCAACGCCAAGTTGGCCAAACTGGTTGTTGCCCCACGAATAAACCTGTCCGTTGAACGTGAGGGCGAGGGTATGACGCCCGCCAGCAGCGAGCTGTCGAATCGGAATGCCATACAGCTCCTTGACGAGCGTGGGGACCGGGACGGTCTTGAGCTCGCGCAAGCACAGCTGGCCCGACGTGTTATCGCCCCAGGCAAACACATCGCCTCGCTCCGACAAGACGAGCGAGAAGTTTGCCCCACAGACAATCTGCACAATCTTGTGGCCTGTCAATGCGCGCACCAGGCGAGGCCGAGTCATAAAGTCCATGTACGCGAGTGTAGCGGCGTCCAGCTCGTCCACATCGTCGATGGAAGCTGCTGCCGTCTTGGGTGCAGAGGAGCGCGTCGACGGCTGCCGGCTGCTCTCGGAAGGAGTGAGGCCCAGCTGCGAGGCCTTGTTGTCGCCCCACGCAAAGACCTGACCATTGCTTGTGAGTGCCAGCGAGTGTGTTTCACCACATGCAATTTGGGTGATGGTGTACGGCTCCAGCGCGTCGACTCGTTCTGTGTTGTGTTTGTGGATTTTCAAAGAATATTTTGTGAGTGTGTGAAACGTTTGTAGCAATGCAAGGCGAATGAAGAAGCCGCCTAGCTACGTTTGTGAGTTTCTGAGTTTCTGAGAGTTTCGTTTGTTTGTTTGTTGTTTTTGGCTGTTTCTCACCTGGCTTCGAGCGATGCTTTTTGTGACCCAGCTGGCCCTGGTCATTGGAGCCACACGAGTAGACTTGTCCGTCGACCAGAAACAGAGTATGTGCGCGTCCACATGCTATTGCTGACGCCAACGTCGACTGCTCACAGCCAAACAAACAAAACAAACAAACAAAAAAAAAAAAAAAAAAAAGTGAGCACAACACAGCCAATCCCCATCGGCGTCCCAGCTTCGATAAAAGAACCTTACCATTGAAACGGACGAGAAGGCTTCGAGCTCGGTCGGCTCGGGGACGGCAAGCGTGTGGTCGTTGGTCAGGCGAAGGCCGAGCTGGCCGTCAGTTGGGTTGCCCCAGGCCCAAACACTCCCAGCGAGTTGCGCGTGCGCCGCTGGCACGACAGTGTCCCGTGCGGGCGCGGCTGCGGACGCCGCGGCTGCTGCGTTTTCATCTGTGCGAGGCGCAGGGGATGCCGTGGCGGCTGGAGCGCTGCGGCTCGCATGAACGCCAGACGAAACAGACGCGACGTCGGGTTTTGCCGCCACGGAGATTTCTGCCCCTCGGTCTGCCGCTGCGTCGTCGGCGTCCGCGACGGGGTGGCCACGCGCCACGTGCATTGGCACTGCGAGTGGTAACCGGGTGTCTGCGGTTGGGCTGGGTGCGGCTGCTGCTGCTGCGGCTGCGGCGGCGGCGGCGGCGTCAAAGGCTGACGACGCTGGCCGATGGAAGAGCGACCTGAAACGGTTGAGCGCCCACCACGCAGGGCCCCGCTGCTGCGCGAGTGTCGGCGTCGGCGTCGGTGTCAGTGGTGCTGATGATGGTGGTGCTGATGCTGGTAGTGGTGCTGATGCTGGTGGTGGCTGCGAGTCCGCTGCTGCTGCTGGTGCTGCTTCTGCTGCTCGTGTTGGCTGTGACGGCTGTGCTGACAAGAAGAAATGTAGTTTTCCCGCCATTCGAAGCTTCTAGGCGGTGGAAACAAAACAAAAATTGAAAAAGACTGACGACATTCATTACATTGCATTGTGCATGCAGACGTAAAGTCTCATGGCATTCTTCATGTGAGTTCAAAAAGAAAGCCAAAAGGTTCGGGCGAACGAGGTCAAAGCTACTGCTGTAGATCGATCTCACTTTGAGCAAGAGCCGCTTTTGTTGCTCAATGTCGCATCTCGAGCAACTTTCAACAATGTGCTGCTACCGATGAGACCTGTTTGAGCTCTCTCTCTCTCTCTCTGTCTCTCAGAAGCTCACTCATTCTTCCTTTTGCTTCTTCTTCTTTGTGCTTTGCTCTTGTTGAATGGCGTCGAAATTTGCCGTCTCGACCGTTGCGACGCCACCGCCGGGAGCACCGAGCGGCGTTCTCCTCGCCCCAGGATCGTCTTCATCGGCGTCAGCGGGCCCTGCCGGCGCGGCTGCGAGCTCGGCTGGCGGCAATGGCGAAGCGAGATCTCGCGATTCTGCTGCTGCTGCTGCTGCTGGTGCTGCTGCTGCGGCTGCCACTCCCACGACTGCAGCATCCGCTTCTACGACAACAACGACAGTCTCGAACGCGGCCGCAGCCGTGGCGGGCGCAGTGGGGCGCGGATCCCGCGACGCCCTGTTCCAGGAGACTGTGATGCATCTGGCCGAGTCGCTGGGCGCACTGCAAACGCCGCCGCCGTGGTCCAAGGTCAACAGACTGCTGACACTGTGTCCGACGATGCCGAGCCCTGGTAGCGGCAGTAGCAGTGGCGCTGCTGGTACAGGACTGGTCATGCCGACGCCAACGTTGGTCTCCTATGGTCCCTCGTCGCCAATCGTCACCCCTTCCGCGTCGGGCTCTGCCGCAGTCTCGACCAGCAGCAACTCGCAGTTTGGTCTGGCGCCTTCAACGACGGGAGCAGATGGCTCGGAGCAACAACAGGCACCGCCGGTCGTCGCCTTTGTTGCTGATCCAGATCCGTCGGTGTCGTCTGTGCCTGCCTCGGGGGCGACGACCACGGAACCCTCAACGCCCGGTGTGGCAGCGTCCATGGCGGCGTCGCTGGTGGCCGGCACTGCGGCAGCATCCCCAGCAGCCCTGGCGTTTGCTGCTCCCTCTGCCGATTGGCATGCGCGCTCGCGAGCTGCCGACATCTGGGCCACCCTCGCTCCAGCGCTGCCCACCGTCACGGATCGCAACCAGTGCGCCGTGCTCGCATTGGGCAAGTACTTTGTTACCTCTGCAGGTGCCTACCCGACTCAGATTCTGCCGTACCTGTTTCAGCTGCTGCACCATCTGCCCTTCCTGTCGTATTCCACGAGCAACGCTGTTTCCCCGGCAGCTCTGGCCGTCCTTTCGGGCGCGCTTGCTTCGTTTGGCGTCGCCTCTGTCAAGGCGAGTGTCGCGAGCGCGTTGTCAGCTGCAGGCACGTCCAGCCCTGGCGCCGCTGCCGCTGCCGCGGCGTCCGACCATTCTGACAATCCCGTCGATTTGGCCGACGCAACTACGGCCCTCCCCGCCGAGCACTTTGCCTTCAGTCTCGTCACCATGCTGCTCGGAATTGCGCGAGAGCTGCCGTCCTCGGCCGAGGCCATCCGGGTTGCGATTGTTGAGACGCTCGAGCTCTGTGGCTTTTGGCTTGCCCAGGAGAACACCCACGCCGCCGACGACGCTGCAAAGCAGGTTGTTGACGTGCCAGCACGTCTGTGCCGCGTCGTCATTCCAACCACGATTGGCCTCGCACGCGCCATCTCGCTCTTCAGCGGGCAGCAGCTGCCGAGTCTGCTCCTCTCCTCGTCTGGGCGTGGCGACACTGCAGCCACCCTCCGCTCCGTCGCTGGCAGCAGCGTTACCACGACGACCGTTAGCCAGGGAAGCAGCACGACCACCTCGGACAGCGCCGCGCAGCGAGCTGTCATCCCGTGGACGGTTGCGCATGCTCGCCGCATCACACAGGCCGTGCTGGTCCTCACCAAGAGCGACAACATCAGCCGCCTCGAGGCCGTGCTGCTGACAGTCAAAGCGCGGGATCTCGACTTTGGCGCCGACTTGCACCGCGCAATTGTTCCCGCCCTGCACGTGTGGCTCCGTGCTCTGCTTGCCTCTGTGCTTGATTGCGACCGCGAAATCGACTCGATCGCTCAGCACGCCTTGCCTGTGCAACCCGAGGCATCCCGACCTCGCACTTCCTCGGCGCCATTCGGATTGACCCGAATGCAGGAAGACAAGCCGCGGCCGTCCGCCATCACCACCGAAAGCGGGCAGGTGATCATGTCTGGATACGAAGGAGTGCACTTTCCCGCGAGCGCAAGTCTCACGAGCGAGGGCGCCCACTTGGCGGCTGGCTCTCAACCGGCGAGCTACGAGGCGAGTTTGCTGCTCTCCGCCCTCGAGCAGAATGGCCGGCCAGCCTTCCTGGGCGACATTTTCCAATCCGCCTTGCGCTGCCTGGAGCACTCGAGCGCCGTTCTGAACAGTATCGTGTCTGAAAGTGGAGCGACAGGTGCCGGCAGCAGCAGTATCAGCACCAGCACCAGCACCAGCAATGCCGCGAATGGCGCGAATGCCGTTGGCACACCCACCACCTCCACTGGTCCGACCATCCAACTGCTTGCACTCAATGTGGATTTGCTTGTTGCGAGTGCCACCACGAACGAGCAGTTTGATCGCGCCTTTTCCGTCCTCCGCGACGAACTCAAGGTCGAGGAATCGGATGTCGACTGGGCCTTCATCCCCGTCTACGTGGCTTGCCTCCGTGGTCTCGGAGAGCTTGGTCGCCGACGCCCGCGCCAGCTGTCGCCGCGTGTGCTCGACGTTCTGCGGCAGTTTGTCACACAACCCAGCGTCCTCCTACTCAAGCTCGCCCACGACGACCTGCTGAACGCGGCTGCTCGTGCAGTCTGTCAGGTGCTGCGCCTTGGCCCTGCCATGCACCAGGATCTGGCCGAGGCGTTCATTGGGCCGCTTGCCAACCGGCTGTACTCTGGCGATGATGTGGCAACGCCGTCCGCCTCCATCACTGCCGGCCCGGACGAAACTGCTCTGCTCGCCTCCGCCTCGGGCTTCTCACAAGCCGACGCCTCCCATCAGCACTACTCGGTGTCCTTCCACGTCTCGCGTTTTGTCGTCATCATGCTCGCGCACATTGCTGTCGCGATGCACGACCGCAAAATCACCAAGTCTGTCTTGTCCATTTTGATGCAAAAGGTCGGTCAGCCGCCGTCCGAACTGGACAGCCTGATTATTGAGCAGCTCGGTCGCGTTGCTGTGGGTCAGCCGCAGCACGCGCTGCGCCCCATCGTCGAGCTCTTCCTGCAGATTTCGGGCGACTCCGTCCGTCTGGCGCTCGCTCCTGCCAATGCCCGCACGTCGTTGATTTCCAACACCCTCTCAGTCTCTCCGAGCGCGCAGTCCGGCGGCCAGCCCAGCCCCGGCTCTCCTGGATCGTTGCCGTTCTCGCCGTCGGGCACTTCGGGCCTGAGCAACATTACTGCAAACGCCTCGACGGTCAACTCGCTGTACGGATTGACGCACGAGCCGTCCCTGCACACGTCTGCGCTGGACCTTTCCTTGGTTGCGCTGATGAGCCAGAATCCCACGGGAGCTGGCACGCTCCCCACCATTCCCAGCGGCGCCTCTGTTGGCAGCACCACGACCACCGGCAGCGCGACCCTTGCCGTGCCCGGTAGCGGGCCCTCGGCTGCTCCGTCGACTGCAACTTCGTCACTTGCGCAGACTGCCGTCACGCGTGCGGCTGCTGCTGTTGCTGCTGCCGCCGCTGCTGCCGCGGCGAGCTCCAACCGCTCCTCGAGCGCTGGCGACATTCAAGCTGCGTATCGCCACTGTACTCCCGCAATCACCGCGTCCTTCCTCCACATGGCGCAGACGCTGGAGAACGTTGCCGCGCTAGAAGACCTGTTCCTGCGGGTTTGCGAGCTCTTCATCAAGCTGGGCATGAGCGTGCAGCAATCCAACTCGTCCAAGGTCAAAGTTCAAGCCTCTTCTGTTGCCGGCAACCTGGGCTTCTTGCTTCCAGTTCTGTCAGAGCTCGTCAAGCGCGTGCCGCCTGTCATCAACGCCTCGTCGCGTGCCGTTCGCCTGTTCCGCGACTTGTGGTTTTACCTCGTGACGTTTGGGTTTGTGACGGAGGGCATGTGGCTGCCCGAATGGTTTGACGCAGTGACACGGCTGTCTGCCAAGTCGCCGGTGCTGGTCACGAGCGCCAGTGGCTCGTCGTTTGCCGAAGAGTTGGAGCTTGACTCGGCCATTCGCCGCAAGAATGTGTCGTCCGAGGAGCAGCAAGAGCTGCGCTCTGCCCTGAGCTTGCTCCTGAACTCGACGCCCCTCAACGCGCAAATTGCGAAACTGACGCCTGCTCAGTGCACCTACCTGATGGCCGTGTACCACCTGGAGACCCTGCGCGTGCACACTGGCTCCTTCCGCCAAATTTTCCGCTACCTCGAGGACAAGGGTATTGAGCGCGCCGGTCTGTCCGGCTTGGTGCGCGCGATTGCCAACGAGGTCTTCCACCGCTATCTGAACAGCATGGCGGATCGCGAAAAGTCCTTTGAGCGCGAGTCGGATCTCGAAAGCCACATTGTGTTTTTGCTCGTCAACTTTAACAATGTGAACAAGGTTGTCAAGCGCGCAGCCGACGAGTATCTGACCGAGCTCGTGAACGCCTTCCCGCATCTTTCGCACAACGCGAAGGCGCTTCAGGTCATGTTTGATTTGATTGACCTGCTCGCGCGAACGCTCGATCAAGAGGGCGATCAACGGCTGCCTTACTACACTGCCATTCCCGGCACGTCTTCGTCGCTGCTCATTCCCGGCGACCACGAGGCGCGCGAAATGATGGTGCAGGACTTTACGAGCCGTGTGCAGGACTTGCTCAAGTTTGCGATGCAAGTCTCGCCGTTGGAAATGCAGGCGCTGCTGCAGCAATACCTCTCGCAATCCGCCGCCCAGGACGTTGTGGCGGAGGCTGCGGAGGCCCACGTCGACTCCTCCACCATGCCCAACGGACGCCAAATGGACTATGCATTCGCGTCGGCAGACCGGGGCAACCTGTCTTCTGCGCACGCTGGCCGGTCGCTCGCGACGCAGTACGCGTCCTTTGGCCTGAATGCCAGTGCGACCTCATTGCCGAGCGATCTGGCGCGCAACCGCCCCGACTGTGCCAAGAGCATTGCAAGTGTGTTTGTCACGCAGCTCGAGCTCCGCAACCACTATGCTGGCGAGGTGGCTGGCATCCTCAGCTCGCTCGGGCCCGCGGCTGCCGCGACTGGTCCCCGCTCGAGCACTAGCTCTGCTGCGCAAATTCCAGCCACTGAAGGGACGGACGCCGATGGGACCGTGTCTGGGTTTGTCGATCGGCTGAAACGCGCCTTGCATGTTTGCATCGAGATCGCCAAGACCAAAGGACCGGAGCATGTCGACTTTGGCTCGCTGCGTGCCAACTTGTACCGTCTCACTGCCTTTATCATCTCGCAGTCCAACTCGTTCCACCACGAGCTCGTGCACTTGGTTTGCTGGGCGCCCGTTTACGTCTTTTCCGAAAAGGCCATGTCTGTGGGCGCGTTCTGCTGGTCGTGGATTGTGGCTGCGCGCCCAACGCTGGAAGAGAGCGTGCTGCGCGAGCTCACCCTGGCCTGGGACTGGACGTTGGAGAAGCGCATGGGTCTGTTCTGCACCTCGCTTCGGGCTGCCAACCCGCTCTTTACGCCAATGTCTTCCAACACCAAACAAACAAGTGCGGGTACTGCCCTCCTGCCGGCCATTGCATCTGCGGCCGCTGCTGTCAAGAAGATTCTGCCGCCGACGTCCGAGCCCAGTCACCCCAACAAGACGGACGCCGGCCCGCACAAGGTCTGGATGCGGTTCTTCTCGGAGCGTTTTGAGGTGATTCGCCACAAGTCTCAGGTGCAGATCGATCTGTATGCATCGATGATTCACCGTACGCTCGCCGACCCGACCCATCTCAGCGTTCACGTGTCGTGCACGGGCGTCGTGTATCGCGTCCTCTTGCTGGCGCTCCGACTTGCGCAAGGGACGCACATTCGCAGTCTGTTGAGCCGCTACCTGCTTCGTGAGCGTGTCTACCATGCTGCTCTGGCGTGGTTCCGCGTCGAGCCCAGCTGGCCCAATGGCAACAGCCCGTCCATCATTCGCGAAAATCTGGCGGACATTATTGCATTCACGCGTGCCATGCGTGCCGATCGCCGCTACTTCAAGTCCCTCGAACCATTGTTGTCCGACGCGCTCGCTGGCGGCGTTGGCGCCACCGCGGCGATTGCACGCAGTGCGGCTGCTGGCGCTGCCGTAGACGCCGCCATGATGAAGCGCACCGGCCAGGTGAAGGGCAACACGCTCACGCGTGCTGATATTGAGCTCATGCTGCCCGCGCTCTCCCGCGGCGCCATGAATACGATTGCCATCTCTTCGAGCATGTCAGTCATGTCCAAAGAGTCCAAGCGCTCGCGAGCCGTCAGTAGCGACTACACGGTCGGCCCTTGGGACGGATACATGACCGTCAGCAGCTCGCTCATGTCGGGCGGTGCCGCTGCGGCGGCTGCGAGCAACGAGGGCTTGCTCGATCCCGAATCGGCCACGACCGCGGGCTCCTCGAGCACTGCTACGCGGCCCTTGAGCAATGCGGGTGCACTTGACGACGCTGGACAACTGCTGATGAAGGATTTGCGTCGTCGCCGTGTGCTCATCATGCTGCTGCTGCAAAACCAAATCGAGCGACTGGGCGTGTGGCACAACCCGCACGACCTTCCCGGCTTGGTGCTGGAGGGCGAGCGTGAGGTTGTCGGTGGCGCGGCGACTGCCACCGCCGGCGTCAACACTGCCGGCGCAGCGGCGGCCGCGCCAGGAGCCCCAGCAGCCCCGGGCGAAGATGAGGCCGCCGGAGGTGCCAACAAGGTCATTTCAGACCGAATGTGGAAGGATCACGTGCGCATGGCTTGGCAAGCGAATCCGCACATTGCAGTTCAGATGGTGGCGCGCTTCTCGCAATCCGAGGCTTTGCGACGTGAGGTGGAGCGCCGCGTGCGCCTGGATCCCCTGGCCGTCAGCGGCCTGCCAGAGGCTCTACCTCTGCTCGTTACTGACTCTGCCATTCGCAGCGATATTCCCGAAATGAGTCACGTCCTCTGCTGGGCGCCCGTCTCGCCCGCTGGAGCCCTGGCGCTCTTCTCCAAGCTCTACTCGCCGCACCCCGTCGTGGCCCAGTTTGCGCTCCGCGTGCTTCGCTCCTTCCCTGCCGATCTCATTCTGTTTTACATTCCCCAGCTCGTGCAAGCGCTTCGCTACGATCGCCTGGGATATGTCGCCGAATATCTGCTGCTGGCCGCACAGTCCAGCCAGTTGATTGCGCATCAGCTCATCTGGAACATGCGGACCAACATGTATGTCGACGAGGAGGCCGAGCATTTGGACACGCTGGCGCCCGAACTGGACACCATTATCGGCAAGATTGTGTCGTCGCTCTCTGGCCATGCTCTCAAGTTCTACCAGCGCGAGTTCTCCTTCTTTGGCCGCGTCACGGCCATTTCGGGCACCATGAAGAAAGCCGTCCCCGTCTTCAAGACCGACGAAGACAAGGCCGCACGCAAGAAGGTGTGCTTGGAAGAGCTCGCCAAGATTGTCGCCGAGTCGGGCGTGTACCTGCCCTCCAACCCCGAGGCAACCGTTGTGGGCATCAAGTACTCGTCAGGCACGCCCATGCAGTCGGCCGCCAAGGCCCCGTACCTTGCCACATTCCTGGTCAAGAAGTGCTCCGTGGCGGAGATTGAGGCGTTTGATGACGAGGCCGAGCTGTCGCCGCATGTGACGGAAGGCGCCGATATTGTCGCCCAGTCTTGCCTGTTCAAGGTTGGCGATGATGTCCGCCAAGACATGCTCGCTCTTCAGGTGATTGGCCTGTTCAAAAAGATCTTTGAGCAGTGCGGTCTGGATTTGTACGTCTTCCCGTACCGCGTTGTTGCCACGTCCCCTGGCGCTGGTGTCATTGAGGTGGTGCCCAACACCAAGTCGCGCGACCAGCTCGGTCGGCAGACAGAAGTCACGCTGCATGACTATTTTGTCGCCACGTATGGCGATCCCCATTCGGTCGAGTTTGAGCGTGCGCGCGCGTGCTTTATCAAGTCGATGGCTGCCTACTCTGTCATCAGCTTCCTCTTACAGTTCAAGGATCGTCACAATGGCAACCTCCTGATCGATAAGGACGGGCACATCATTCACATTGACTTTGGTTTCATGTTCCAGTCCTCTCCTGGCGGCAACATGGGCTTTGAGCCCGATCTGAAGCTCACCCAAGAGATGGTGGACATCATGGGAGGTGACATGGAAGCCGCGCCTTTCAAGTGGTTTGTGGAGCTTTGCGTCCGAGCGTACCTTGCCGTTCGGTCCGTAAAAGTTTGGTTTTGTTGTCGTTTGTGTTTTTAAAATGCTCGGTTGTTTGGTTGTGTGTCACGCACTCACACGTGATGCCTCCCTTTCTGCGTTTCAGGCCGTATCACGAGAGTGTGATTGCTCTTGTGGCGTTGATGCTGGACACTGGATTGCCATGTTTCCGCGAGATGGATTTGGAAGTGCTGCGGCGTCTCCGGTACGTTGCCTTCCAGATCGATGTTTGTCTGCTCGAGTTTTGTTGTGTTGGATTGCTTGTCAGCTCATCGTTCCCTTTTGCTGTTTATGTTGTGTGTTTTGTGCGTGTGTAATTTAATTTCTTCAGGACCCGATTCCAGCCCGACAAAACCGAGCGGGAAGCGGCGTCGTTCATGATCAAGACCGTCAAGAACTCGTACCTCAACACGCGCACCAAGTTGTATGACATTCTGCAGTACATGCAGAACGGCATCCCGTATTAGAGGGCGTTTGTTTTGGGTGTTGTTTGTTTGTTGTTTGTTGTTGCTGTTCTGTCACTGCTCTGCCCGTCAATGAACCAGCGTTTCTCCCCGCCTTTGCCAACTTGTAATATGCCACGCTGTCAACCCTTCCATTTAGGATAGGATCGACTCCATTCCAGTCCTACAAACCCTTTGGGTGCAGCATTGCGACATTTGCATGGACTGGAACAAGCCTCGTCCCACCGCACATACCGCCTCTGTCCTATCGTCGCGCATTATGGTTTGTCTTTTGTGCTTGTCTTTCGTTTCAGCGCTGGCATGCTTGAATAACTCGAGCCTGCGCTACTGCAGAGTCGCTCAGCCACACTGAAGCAATGGTGGCAATTGTTTGAATCTCATTCTCGTTCTGTCTCTCACCCACAACCACGTATCACAACAATCTTAGAGAAGCTGCACCGTGCCTCGATCACGCCTGACGCTGGCCGCGGTCGGCTTCATGCTTGTCTGCCTGGGATACTGGCTGGGCTCGATGGCGCCGCGCGCTGGCTTTGGCGGCCGGTTCTCGCCGCATCTGGACTCGGCGGCCGTCTGGAGTCCCGATGGTGTCGCGCATCCCAAGGGTGCTGCTGCTGCTGTTGTTGCTGGTGGCGGTGGTGGTGGTGGTGGTGGTGGTGGGCTGCAGGACGGCGTGGCTTCGGCCGAGGACTTGTCGTTCATCCCGTACCCGCGAACTGCTCCACTGCGAACGCCTGGCGAGGTCCGATTCCGCATTGGCATGGTGGCTGATCTCGATCAAGCTTCGCGCAGTCCCGATGACGAGGAGTGGCACAGCTTCTTGGTCCGAGGCTACCTCGTCTTCCATTCTGACACGAACAAGTACAGCGTTGAGATTGACCCCAAGCCCGCCGCGCGACTCACGTCCCGCTATGCCGAGAAGGGTCGCGGAATGGAGCTCTCGGAGCTCGTTGCCTTCCACGGACGCCTTTTGGCGATGGACGACAGGACGGGCATCATCTTTGAGCTCGTTTTGCGAAACGAGGAAGATGGCACCGGCATCCACGTCCACACGCCCGATGAAGAGGCCGCGCTGCGGGAGCAGGCTCTCAAGCTGGCGCACGAGTCTCACTTTGCAGACCATTTGTTCTACCTGACACCTGCAATGCTGAAAGGAAGTGGCGCCGGCAGCGGCAAGAGCGACTTTTCCGTGGAGGTTGTCCCGCGCTATGTGCTTTCGGACGGTCCTGGCGATGCGTCAAAGGGCTTTAAAGCAGAGTGGGCTACCATCAAGGACAACCGGTTGGTGGTGGGTGGCCTGGGCAAAGAGTGGACGACGGGCAAGGGCGTCGTCGTGCACACCCACCCGCAGTGGATTAAGCAGATTGACGGCACTGGCAGGATTCGACACCTGGATTGGAAGCCATTCTACGATGCGATGCGAGCGAGCACGGGCACGTCCTTCCCGGGCTACCTGATCCACGAGTCGGCCGTCTGGAGCCCCCTGCATCGACAGTGGTACTTTTTGCCTCGGCGAGCAAGCTCCGAACCCTATGACGAAGTGCAGGACGAGCTTCGTGGCACCAACTGGCTGCTGGCGGCGGACGAGCGGTTTGAGACAATCACGCGCACCGAGATTGGGCGCGTCGAGCCTCGACGCGGGTTTTCGTCCTTCAAATTTGTCCCGTACACGGACGACAATGAGATTATTGCCATCAAGACGGAAGAGGTTGCCGGCAAGCTGTCGAGCTACGTGACCATCTTTACCATTTACGGTGAAGTCCTCCTGCCCGACACGCTGATTGCGCTCGATGCCAAGCTGGAAGGCATTGAGTTTATTTGAGCGGGGACTCCGGTGACAAGCGAGTTGTAATTTTTTTTTCACGCAATGTGCATTTTTCAGTTTTATTTGTTAAAAAGCTTTGTTTTATTCTGAGCCAGCTCAGATTTCACTCTTCTATTGTTTTTTATTGGGTTTTTATTTTTATTTTGAAAGAACACTCCACAGAACTGAACGCAAAACACGCACGTCACGACACGAACACACACACACTTTGACGACTCCTCAACAGGCCCAGCATTGGTGATTTTTTTGTTTCGTTTAAATGAGCAATAGCGGCAGTGCGGGCGGCTCGTTGAGCGGCTCGGAGGCGAATTTGGCAGGAACGCCATCGCGCGGCATGTCGCGGTCGAGCAGCGCGGCCGTTGCGGCGACATCCGCATCACCAATGCAGGCATCAGCAGCAGCACCCTACGCGCTCAGCATGGCGGCGCCAAGCAAGGACTCTTCCGCAGCCAGTTCGCTGCTCCACGTTAAATCCAAGGTTCGTTCAAAAATCTAAAAAAAAAATAAAAAAAAAAAAAAAAAGACAAACTGGCTTCTATCAGCTGGCTGGCTCGTCGTGCTCCGGGGTTGGATGTGTGGCAATCACAGGGTGAAAACCCAGGAGGAGGGATTGGAGACGGGCGATTGGAGAGACGGAGAGTGAATGAATGGGGGGGACTTGGGGGTTAGAGGGTTGAGTGGTTTGCGTTTTGGGATGGTCCATTCCCAAAAAAAAAAAAAAAAAAAAAAAAAAAAAAAAAAAGGCTTCTTTTGTTTTGTTGCTGATCTATTTCAGAGGAAGCGGGGGGAGGTTGTTGGGGTTGGGGGGGGGGGACGAGGGCTTGCGTTGAACTCATCCCTTGGAAAGAGAGACAGAAAGCGTGAGTGATTGGTCACTGTGCATCATGACACTAAACTCACTCAAACACAACCAAAAGCGACTCAAAAGGCACACAAACGACGCATGCCTCTCTTGACGAAAACCCAACACAAGGAGGGGGGAGGGCTTGTTTGGTGAAGCACATTCTTGTCATAGGAAAAGAGAGGAAGGAGAGAGAGAGAGAGAGAGAGAGAGAGAGAGAGAGAGAGAGAGAGAGAGAGAGAGGGGGTGGCATAGCAACGAAGAATGCGTGAACATTCAAACGAAACCTGACCCCGACTCACTGCGAATTCACTCAAAAAAACCTGACTCGCTGCGAATGTTGTAACCTTGTCGTTTGTTTTTGTCGATTTAGTATGAACAAGACACGCGAAGATTCCCAATGGATCCCCGCAGCTTACTCGTCTGGAAGGACTTTTACTGGATTGTGCGCAAGACCCATAACATTAAGGAAGACGACGCATTCGTGTGGGATGCCGCTGGTCAGGCCATTCCAGCGTTCGCCATCTACTTTCAAGACCCAGAAGGCGCCTATATTGAAATTGCCACCGAAGAAATGCTCAAGGAGGCCGCTCGGGTCTCCAAGCCATGCCTAAAGCTCCTTGTTGGTAAGAGTGGTTTTTTTTGGTTTTTTTGTTGGTTGGTTGAAAACCAAGGTCACTGACGCTCGTCCTCCTCCTCCTACCCCCCCCCCATTCTTGTCTTGAACTGTTGCCTGCCTGCCTGCCTGCCTGCCTGCCTGCGCATGTACTCGATTTGCAGCGCCGCGTAAAGTACCGGGAACAAAGAAGCGAGCGCCATCCTCAGTCCGCGCAGTAGAGCGTGTGTCCATTTCCTCGCCACGGCAGCTGCGTGTGACATCGGGTGCCTCGGCTACGGTCAGCAGCTACAAGACGATTGAGTTGGACAAGGCGGCCGACGGAACGGTGGGCTTTTATGTTCGCATCGGCAACGACGAGCGCGAGCGAGACACTGGCCTGTTTGTCTCGCGCCTCGTCCTCGGTACCCCGGCTGATCTGTCGGGTGCATTGCAACCTGGCGACGAAATCACCTCGGTGAATGGCGTGGACGTGACGCAGCTGGATATGGATAGCATCGGCGTGGTCATGCGTCGGGTGACTCGGCTCCAGCTCGTCATTGTCCGCGAAGCGCCTCTCATTGCAGTCATGTCTCCCAACACCAAGAGCACAGACGCAGAGCTTGTTCACTCGGGCCCCGATGTGGAAGGCTGGACCTCCTCGGGGAACATTTCCATGGGTGTTTCGCAGCAAGGTCCCCCAGCCGCCAAGATTGCCCAAGCCGCCACGCGGTTGCAGAGCACTCTTCGCGCCAACGAAGACGCAGACATTTCACCGACTGTAGTTTATACCAACAATATGGGGGCGGCTCGAACGCCGACAGGCACCCCAGCCCGCCCTGTTGCAGGTGGCGAGCCATTGCGCGCGCTCTCGACAGAAGAGTTGGCGACGTCGCAGTCCAGCTCGCGTGGAGCAAGCACGCTGGCGTCGTCCACGAATCTGGCCACCTCCAATGGATCCATTCAAGCCTTGCAAGAAGCAAACGCTGCTGCGCTGAACGCCGCCCTTTCCGCGCACAACGCTTCGATGAGCACCTCTGGTGCCGCGCCCAAGCGTGCTGCTCCAAGCGTGCCCCCAGCCAATGGTGTTCAATCTCTCCCCGCTATCCGCATCACGGCTCACCAGCCAGAGACAAATGTGGCCTTGGCAGATGTGGACGAGGAGCACGACGACGAACAGCCTGCCACCGCACCAAAGACCCATGTCGACCTGGAGGAGCCTGCAGCACCTCAACCTGAAGAAGAGGTTGTGCACGAAATTGAGGAAGTCGAAGACGAAATTGAAGAAATCATTGAGCAAGTGGACGAAACCGTTGGAGATGAGGCACCCGCTGCCGAGCAGCACCCTCTCGACACGGAGCGAGCCGAAGAAGTGCAACACGATCAAGCCAATGGTGAACCAAATAGTGCGGATGCACAGGACCATCCGTCGGCACAGTCGATCGTTGCCTCGCCTGTTTCCGCGAACGTTGCCTCTCAGGCGCAGACTTTGAGCTCGCCGGTTGCAACGCCCAAGCGAACGCCAGTGAAGGGCAGCTTGGATGATTCGTCTTCACCTCGATCTGGTTCGCGCCCATCGTCACAGAACAATTCCAGGCCTGTCTCCATGTTTGTGACGCGACCCGCGTCGCGACCAGTTTCGACCATCATGGCGAGCGATTCGGCCGTGAGTCTCCCTGCCACCTCCGGTCAAAACGGCTCTGGCGCCCAAACTCCAACCAGCTTGCGCAACTCGACATTGACGGACTCGTCTAGCGCTTTGCCTGCCGAGCCTGTCAAGTTTAACTTTTTGCTGAACTGGTGAATGATTGGTTGCTGTTGTTGTTGTTGTTGTTGTGGAGGGTTGTGTTCGAGTTTGTTTGTTTGTTTGGTTGTTCGTTCGTTTGGTTTGTTTCTTGTGTTTGTGTCATGTTTTGTTTCTTGTGTCATGTTTGCTTCGCATGTGATTGCTGCCTGCACTGTGCATTTGTTTCTGTGTTCGTTTCGTGCTTCAGGTTGGACAAAATTGGCTTCACTTTGTTTGAAAAATTCAACATTCATTCACAAATGCAAACCGCAACACACACACACAAAAAAAAATCATCTGATAGAAAAAAAAAACCAACATATTTTTTTTGCGAAAATGCGAAAAAACAAACACCAATCGACTACTTGGCGGTGGAGCTGGTGGTGCGACGAATGGTCATGCGAACAACCGTCACATCACCGTCAGAGGACATGGGCGGAGTCGATGTTGGCTCGGCTTGCGCGTCTGCAAGCTCGTCGATGGCGGCAGCGATTCGAACGCGATGCGCTTTGACGCGGACGATGGACTTGAGATCGTCCTCACACAAGTTCAAAATTTGAGGCGTGTTCGTGTACCCATTCTTGGCAAAGTTTACAGCGTACTGCTTCAAGCCAAAACTGCCCAGCCACGTTGAAATGGACTCGCCAGACGCCTCCGTGGCGCGGCCCGCTTTGGTGTCGTCGTCAGCCAAGCGTGCGCGCTTGCGCTCGTGCGTGGCAGGTGCAGCCTCGTCTGGGGCGCGGACGTGACCAGCGGCCGCTTGGGCGAGCGTGTCCAGTGCCGACAGCGCAGGTGGCGCGCTTGGATCGTCCTCGACGACGGGCGGGGTGGTGGTGCGCTCCAGCTTTGAGGCAACGGCTGCAGAGGTTCGCTGCGCCAATGCGTTCAGACCCTCGACGATTTTGGAAACGAGCACAAAATTGTCACGTCCCCGAATGCTGATGGTGAAAATCTCGTCGTCGTCGTCGGCATGACGTCGCTTAGCAATGGCTGTTATACTGCGGTCACGAAGCAGCGTTGTTGGCGCTGCGTGTGCCTCAGTAAGAGCTGGGGATGGAGCGGCGATCGCAGCTGCAGGCGCGGTCGGCGCGGTCTGCGCCGAAGAGGCAGCGGGAATGACAACGAGAGGGCGTGGTGTAACCCCTGTCACGGGAATCGCCCCGGCTTTTCGCCCGGACGAGAGCAGTCCGGGCGCAGGCGTAGGAGAAGCAGCAACAACCGGGGAGGGCACAACTGGTTGCGCACTCCGCCGTGTCGGGGTGGACGCTGTGGTGCCCGGATCGGCCAGGGCAGACCCTTGGTGAGCAGTCACAACTTCGGGAGGAATGATGGAGCCAACGGGAATCGGCGGCGGAGACTTTTCGAGCTGCTTGCGGTCGCGACTCGGCGATGCACAGGTTCGGAAATCGAGGGCCTGGGCACCGTAAATGAGTCCTTGAGAGTCCTCGAGGGTGAAGACAATTTCAGTGGCGCGACGGTTCATGCCGCCCGTGCAGGACGTGTAACACATAAACTTGAGAAACCACGTCATCGACCAGCAGACGTACGGGTTGCTTCGGGACGCCTCGCCGTGAGTGCTGGACGGATGCCGCGTGACCAAGGGAACATGCGCGTCCTTGAGAGTATTGATGAGCACGGGGACGAGCGGCTGCATGGTCGGAGTGAACGGAACGGCAATCGATGCGCGACCGTGGTAGTCGACCGAGTAGACCGTGTCCTGGTCGCACGCACGCAAGAGATGGAGGTCGCTGTCAATCGACAGGTGCAGCGGGCAGCGCCGCACGGGCTCCTTCATGAACTGCATTTGCTTGTAGCGGAGCGTGGCGCGAATGTGGAGCGGATGCACGGTGGGCGGCGGCTTGGCCACTCGAAAGACAAACGGCACGCCCACGTCAAAGTTGGTAAACAGCGTGCCAAGAGCCTCAGAGTACGAGTAGGCCGACGAGATGGCCGAGTGGCGGGCGTTCGAAACGTCGACCGAGAGCAGGAAGCCTGCCTCTCCGAGCGAATTTGGCGACGCGTAGATTGGCTCGCCGATCGTCAGCGGCTCGACAAACGGCTCGGGCGCACTGCCTTGCAGGATGGAGAGAGGCTTTTGCACTGGAAGCGTCCGCGGCCGGCCTAGAAAGCTGCTGTTGCTGCTGTTGCTGTGGTGGCTGTGGTGGCTGTGGTGGCTGCTGGACGACGACGGCGTGTTAAACCCGCGCAATCCGGACATGTTGAGAAGCGAGGTGCCCGTGGTCTCGCCAAACTCTGCAAATAGTTGGGTGGGTGTCGTTCCAAGATTGGGCGGGAAGATGGATTGGAGTAGGCTTGTGGAAGACGCGAATCCCCCAGCAACAGTGTTGAATTGAGATCCGCGGGGTCATGCGATCCCTTTGAGTCGGCGTCGGCGTCAGCCCCGGCAGCAGCACCAGCACCAGCACCAGCACCAGCACCAGCAGCAGCAGCGCCGTCGCCACTTGCGTTCTGCTGGGAAGCGCTCTTCTGCTGCTGCTGCTGCTGCTGGAAGGACTGTCCGCGGGTCAATCGCACCATATCCATGTGCATCGATTGTCTCGTCAATCAGATAGTCCTGCGATGCGGTGAACACCTGCGCGTCGTCCCTGTTGCATTGATGATTCCAAGCGACAAGTCAGAATGATTAGAGAACAAAAGCAAAGGAGAGGTTTTTTCCGATCGCGGACAAGGGTGATCCAGGGTCCGCCCGGCCAAAGTGAGAATGCTGCTTCCTCCAATAACAAGGAACTGATATGTGTCAAAGCGTGTTGTGTCGACGTTGGACGAACGCGGGCAAAAGCGAAAGCGCGCCAAAAAAAAAAAAAAAAAAAACGAAAAAAAAAATCAGTGCTTTTCTCTCGTTCGCTCGCGGTCGCCAAATGTCTCCCTGTCCTACCCACTTGCTTCGTGTTTGGAGGGTGGTGCGTTCCAAGCATGTGATTGTCATGCCGTCGAGCCGTCGAGTTGTCTTTCTCTGAGGGAAAGTGGGGGGCAGAACGCAGACTTCCTTTTTTTTTTCTTTTTTTTTTTTCGTTTTTCCTTTGTCTTTGTCGCTCATTGATGTTCTGCTTGCTCCGCACTCAAACCCCAGCCATTCAATCAAACAGAGCGGACGCTGATTTGCCTGCAACGCGCGATGCGAGAACGAACTGACCAGCTGCACGAAGCGGGAACAAACAACAACAAAAAAAAAAAAGCAAAGCTCACCCAAGCAGCTCAAACAGATTCGTCGCATCGAGCTTGTCCATTTTGCAATCCAAAAAAACAAAACAGAAAAGAAAAAAAAAAGCAATGACAACTTCTCTCAGAAGATGAAATGGGGCAAAACAAATAAATAAAACTCAAAGGCATAAACCATGCATGGGAGCGCAGGACGAGCAGAGCAACAAGGCCAACCAACCAAAACAGCAAAAACAGAGGGGGAACAAAGTCGCAAGAAGTTGCGTGCATTGCGGCGACCCAAAGCAACAAGACGCTCACCCATTCACGTTGCCTCGCTCCCCCTCCCCTCTATCATTCAAGGCCGAGTGTTGCCTTTTGGGGTGGAAGAAAGGTACAAAGATGGGCTGAGGAGGGGGCGAGAAGGGAACACGGCTCAAAAAGCCGGAACGCGCGTTTACATTTTGGCGCCAAAACCAGCCACTACCATCACCATGAGAACTGTACAATCCAATTGAACAACGTCGAAAAAAAAAAAGCGAAAGTGGGCAACAACCCAATCAACTCAGACTGAATCGCAAAATCACATCAATAAAATCAATAATAAATCAATAAAATCAATCATGAGCTCAGTCGTCACAAACAATCACAAAACTCGCAGCATTGCAATGACGCGCGGTCTCCAAAAGCTGCAGGCGCAGGCCAAGAACAATGAAAAGAAGGCCGCTGCTGGCAAAAAGTCGGACGGCAAGGCTGCCGCTGCTGCTGCCATCAAGTATAACTGCCAGTTCTGCAAGGTAGAGAGTGCAGCGGGCAGGGCCACCTTCTCGGTCTCACTCTTCCCTCTCCGCCTCCCGCCTCCTGGTTCTCACACTTTCCCTCGCTCTCTGTCTCTGACGCTGTCTCTCTTTCGGGGGTTGGCCGTTTGGGCTCAACGCGGGACGAGCCGAGCCGAGCTGAGCGCTGAAAAGCTTCAAAATTCGAACGATGCAGAACAGACCATGCGGACCACAAATATTGAAGCGGCTGGTCGGCGGTTGACCATTGCAGTCGAGCTGCGGCGGCGTCGGACCACGCCGGAGCTGCATGCGTTGGGTTTCTTGCGAGGGTGGGGATGTTTGGCTGCACAGCCGTGTCTGGCGTGCGCGTGGCGACGGCCGTACAAAGGACAGCAGGAAGGCATTTCATTTCGCTTTTTCTTTTTTTTTTTTCTTTTTTTTCGCATTGTGTCTTCTTCCCGCTTCAGCCACATTGTCCACGACGTCGATTTGACGCTCGTGGACAAAAAGATGCAGTTCAGTCTGCGAGTGGCTGCGGAGGGAGTGGAACAGCGGGTTGCGGGAAGCAGGCTGACTTTCTCAAGATTACACAATACAATGCACTCATTGTTCTACCGTTGCGCTCGTCCGTATTCTGCTTCCAGGCCCCCATGAGCGATCTGCAAACATACCGCGAGCACTTCGACGCAAAGCACCCCAAGTTGGCGCATCCCCCAGAATTCGCCACCGCTTAAACGGCAATTGTTGTTTCGTTTTCTCGTCTGTTGTCTGTCTGTGCTGTTTCAGGTCGTCTGTTGGATGTGTTGCGACGCCAAGGGTTGTCATTGCGGGTGGTGTGTTGACCACGTCAAGCCAGACGTTTGGCAGAGCGCGAGACCTTTTGTGTTGTTTGATTTCTGCTTTGTTCGGACACCTCGATGTGTGTTTTTGGACAATGTTGATGATTTTTGCATCATTGTACATCCACTCCTTTTTGTTCTGGAAAACGCCGCCTACTTGGCGGCGCACGTATACTAAAGTCACGTCGGTCTTCCGAACAGAATTACGCTGACAGCGGACTGCCGCAAAAAAAAAAAAAAAAAAAAAAAAAAATGCAATAACTTGTTCGTCTCCGAGACAAGGGAACAGTGTATGATACATCTCGTTACAAGCATCGAAACCAGTCAATGGAGCTCGCAAGGAACAGCTGTTTTTTTCGCTAGTACTCATCGCTTGTTGCGGTGGTTTTTGTGTTTGGGCTTGGAAACGGGCGTGCTAAGGCTGACCTTTGTATCCACGGCCGTGGTATCCGCTTCCTCGGACTCTGAAGGCCCGGCAGATTGAACGGCGGGCTTAGAATTGCGGTTCTTTTTGCCGTACTTTGGATTTTCAAAGGGAAACGGCTCGTTTCCGGTTTCAGTCGAATCTTCACCAGTTTTGGTTTCCTCGACTTCAGCAGCTGGGCTTGTCGAGACAACCTGTGCATCGCGAGTCAAAGCAAGTGGCCCACCGTGACAATCAACAAGTTGGGGGGGGGGTTGTTTGTGAGCTCTCGAGCAGCATACGAACAACTACCATCGGCTCATCGTCTTACCTCTGGTATGGCCTCGACGGCTGGGGAAGGACTACTACTACTGGTACTACTACTATCTCTATTACTATCATCTCTGTCAGATTGCGGCACGGGGATTCTGGTCCCAATGTGGCGTTCTTTGCGTTTGGCGTCGCGATCAATAATGCCGTTCTGAGATTTTTGTCTTTCAAACAAGATGGCCATTTGCGCTTGTTGAGCACGCAACTCGGGTGACGGCACAAACACAATTGGTTCCTGTGTGCGTGCGTGTGTGTTGGGGAGGAGCAGCATGACCTGTGAGAGGCAAGTCCAACCAACCCAAAAAAAAATCCTCCCATCGCGACAACCCAATCCAAGCAGCGAGATGCATGAAACAGGCTCGCTCTACCTCCGTTTCGATAGCAGCAGAGCGCAGCTTTGGTTGGATGGAAGTGTCAACCTGGGGTGGAACAGGGATGCGCTCGCGGCAAACGGGACACTGGGTTTGCGAGACATCGTCCACCTGCAGCAGCTCTGGTACTTTTTCCCAGTGATTGATCACTTCGCGCGAGAGCTCCTGGCGCCGCTCGTGGCGTGCTGCAAGATAAGACTCGAAACAATGCGTATGGAAGGCGTGAAAGCACTCGGTGCGTGCGAGCGAGTCCTGGTCAAACTCGTCCAAGCAGACCGGGCAGGCGCCAGTGGGCATGTTATTTGTGGTGAGACGTTCGCAAGCCAGCTCGATGAGCTGGTAGAGCATCAGTTGGCCCTTGTTTGCGGTACAATGCGCGCGAAGCACTGCGAGCAAATCGTGGACTTGGGCCTCGCTCAGCCCTCGCGGCTTGGAAATGGAGATGGCCGGCAACTCGTGTGGATACTATTTGTATGTGTAATGTGGTGAGTTGGCGGTTGTCGCAAAATCAGACGGACACGAGACCCCACGAAATTGTCGACAAACTGACAGCGACCCCAGCGAAAATGGCGGGAACGAAACGCGCACACAAAGAACGAGGCGAAACATCCGCCAGCACATTCTGCGGCTCCAAAACGCAAAACCGCAAAAGTCAGCACTCACCTTGGGTGGCACGAGAATGCCAAGTGTGCAGCGCACAAACTGCTGCTTTTCGTCGTGGGCGGTGCGCGGCGCAATGAGCGCTGACAGCTCGCGTGGATTGTCGGGGCTGACAATCAAGCTTTCGTCGTAGTACATTGCCTGCAGCAGGTCGAGCTCGGATTCGTAGCTTCTGATGGGGGGTTGGGGTTTGTTTGTTGTTGGTTGGTCCAAAGCAGAGTGAGAACGAGAGAGTGAACAGATTTTGCGAGGAGCAAAGCGACACGATGGCGAGTGCGTGTTGGAGTACAGCAGCAGCTGTGATTGAGTAACACGCGTCACTGGTGTTTCGCTGAGGGGTTTTTGGAGCACTTGGAGCATCGCCCTGCGACCACAGCAGATTTTTGGACACTGCGACCAAAGGCCTCGAGCAGCAGAGAGCCGCTGGTCGAGTGGTCGAGTGACTGCGCGGCTTGAGAGAGAGCGCGCGAGAGAGCCGAAACTTACTCTTCGTCAGCCATTCTCAGTTCTGAGGGTCGGTTGCGATGTAGAATAAAGACTAAGACAACAACGGCACAGGTGTGGCAAGCAATCTCATGATATGGCTGTTTGTGCTGCTAAAAATGCTGTACTACAGTATCTGATGTTGAAATACATCTATCTACTTGAGACTTGTCGGAACACGAATCAACACGACGCCGCCTCGACCATCATTCATGCCGTGCTCGCGATATTGGTAGCTATTGGCACTGCAAAACGCCTTCAACGCAGGAAGCAGCTTTGCTCGACTCTGAGCCGAGTGGTGGCCGGTGCCGGTAATAACTTGAACCCACTGGTACGGGGTTGACGGGGCGAGCAAGAAGCGCTCAACCATATCAACGGCCTCACCAATGTGTAGGCCATGAACATCCAAGGCGACCGTCCCATTCTGAACAATCAAGTTCGGGTTGCGCTCTGCGAAAATCGCGTCCGCCGCCTCACTGTGCAGCCGTTGCATTTGTCGATCAAAATCGCGCGCCTTTGCAGAAAGGCTTGCTGCGCTGCGGCCATCGCCGCTCTTGAAGGCATTTGACGCGTGCTGGAGAAAGCAAAAACAAAAAAAAAACCAAAAAGGTCGGTGTTCTTGCTGTGCTCTCGACTATTCTACAGCACAAACAACCAAACACAACAGCTATCGTGCGCCGCAACTCACCACTAGGAGTTTGTTTCGCTCGACGGCAAGATCGGCTGCTTGTTGCCGCCGGCTTTGGTATAGATCGCGGAGGTCGGCGCCAGTCGAAACCCATGCAAGCGCCGATCGGGACGCCGCGCCAATGGGGAAAGCCACGCGTCGAGTGCTCGAGGTGTGTTGGCGCTGCAGCCGACTGGCGCGTGCTTGTTCGTCAGACTGTTGAGCGGGTGAGGACTGCAAAACTCGCGCTTCTGGAAATTGAGCATCTAGAGCGCGTTCGGTGGCTGATTGATTGCAATCTGCGCGCTCAAACGCCTCTCGGATATCCCAGGGTGCAAGTGATGGATAGCATGCCTGCAAGGCATGGAGCTTGAGCTTGGAGCCCAGCGATTCCACTTGAACAGCAGGCCGCGCCGGCGAAGGTTGTTTGCGAGCCAAAGGCCGAACGCCGCCCAGCGCCGGAAACTCTTGCTCGGACGCAATGGTTGGAGCTTGCGCGGGGGCCAACGACGCCGACGACTGGGGCTGTAACGCGTTTGGTCGTTGAATCGACAGCAAGGCTTGCGCGGCAGACGCCGACAACTTGCTGGCTGCGCCCGATCCAACCCCATGCAAAAAGGGACAGGCGGCTCCTTTGTGGCACCGACCAGCCAGCCAGAACCTGCACTGCACCTCGGTTAGGTCGTGGGAAAACCAGCAGTCAGCGCGACGGCATTGATCCGTCAAAAAGAAGGTGCAAATGGGCGGGCGGTCGTTGAGGATGGATGAGGAAGGCGTTTGAGTATCCGAGCTCGCTGCAAACTGCGCCGTATTATCTGCCAAATGATCGTCCCTATGAGGCGATTCGCCGGCCTCTTCTTGAATCTGCTGTTGCTCGACAAACTCGAGGAGCAGCGCGAAAGTGCGCATCTGGTCAAACCCCGTGCTCTCAAACAGCTCAAGTGCCTCCGAAGGACTAATGCCATACTCGGCAAACCCGTTAGCAATGGCATCGGCGACCTGGCTGACGTCTTTATGATCGAGGTCGTCGTTGCCGTCGACCGGTTGCATCGAAGGCATGGTACTGTTGCTTGAGGTCAATTCTTCCACGTCGTCTACCAACAAGGCGGACAGCCACAGATGAGCACCGAATTCAATAGACACTTGGGCACATGGAACTTGTGCGCCTATACTGTGAGGCCGTGAAGCAGCTTTTGTACCTGACTGCAAATCTGTTGTTGCCGACAAAGTTGGCGCCAAATTTTCAGCGCTTGTTGGTTGCTGGGACGGGAGGTCGTCATCAGTGCTCGGCTCGCTGCAGCCTCCAGCCAAGTACTCGACAAGTCGCTCTGCAACGTTGGCGGCGACGTCGGCAGGCAGCTGTGCTTGCTCCACGAGCGCCGTCGTCGCGCACGAGTGGAGATCAAAGCCGCTCGCTGGTGCTGCGGCGTCGCATTCGCTGCGTGCTTCGTCAATCTCGCCGAGGATGTACGGCGCAAACGTGGCGCCATCTGCACCAACAGCGTCGAGCTGGCGAGCAAACCAGCGCTCAATGACCGCTGCGTTGCTGGTGCTGGTGCCGGCGTTCATGTGAGAAATGGACGAGTGAGTAACGCGACTGGATTTGGGATTTGGGACAGCCCACCAGTCTGAGCATGGTGTAGTAACGCCCAACGGTGCAATTTCAGGGGTGCCACCGCGGATGTCCTTTTTGAGCCCTTTGCGTTGGGTTGGGTTGAGTTCGTCTTGTTTCCTTCAAACAACGATGCTGTTGGCTACCACTTTTCCCGTCGAGAAGAAGCATCTCTCCGCTTGCGCTCCTCTGGCTAAGCCCTCGATTCACTGTTAAACTACTGTAATCCATGTACGAAACGCACACAACGAGTTCCTCTCCCTGTGCTCGCGAAAGTTTCCAAGCTCTCAAACCCGTGCCACTCGACCTGCCGTTTTGCTGCACCATCATCCACTTGTAGTTTCTGTGCTTTCCGATTCCTCTTCTTCTTCTTTTTTCTTTCAGCAGGTGTCTTCTTGGCTCACTCCCCCTTTTTGTTTGCACAAACAGCAGTTGTAAGTTGCAACGTTGACCGTTGACTTCTTTCTACCACGATCAAATCGCCCTGCTTCCTTCCCCCATGCGATCCGCCTCCGCTCTTGCACAAGCACAGCAGCCAGATCTCATCCGACGCGTGATCAAGCGGAATGTGAGATGCCACAACGAGACGCGACGCGACGCGACGAGCGACGCCAAGAGCCAAGAGCCAAGAGCGAAAAAAAAAAAGCAACCATGAATGAATCTCGCACATGGGCGTTTGATGGGCCAGTGCGCTCAGTCTCTTCGCGTTTTTTTGTTCTTTCCCCTCTATCAAACCCCAGCATCTCCCCTTCCCCGCCTTTGAATCGCGTTCCACCTCTCTTTTTTTTTTCTATTTATCGAGGATGACAATGAAGACGACGACAACAACAACAGCGCGGTTGCTGGTCGTGATGCTGATGATGATGGCCGCTTGTGTGTGTGCGTTTGAGCATTGCGATCGCTACGAGACTGACCACGTCTTCCCCAACGACAACCACCAATTCCGTGGATCGCGCCCCGCAGAGCACGTTCTAGTCATGTCCAAGGCCCAGATTCAGAAGCCCGCTCCCCACTTTGAGACGGACGCGGTCAGCAACGGCGAGTTCAAGACCGTCAAGCTCAGCGACTTCAAGGGCAAGTACCTCGTCCTCTTCTTCTACCCCCTCGACTTGTAAGTCTACAAGCTCCGTTTTGATCCCCCCCCCTTTTTTTTTTTTTTTTTGTTGGTTGCGCTTTTGCGTTCTTTCGCTCCATCGTTTGAAGCGCAAGTGTCCCAGCATTTGGAGCGAACAGCACCAATTGAGAGAGATCGCGGCTTTTTTTTTTTTTTTTTTTTTTTTTTTTTTTTTTTTTTTGATTGGGATTCGGATTCGGATTGGGATTGGAATATCGAACGCACAACAAAACATGGCTCACCTATCTCGCCTGCAGCACTTTCGTCTGCCCCACCGAGATCATCGCTTTCAGCGACCGCGTCAAGGAGTTTGAGGCGCTCAACACTGCCGTCGTCGCTGCCTCGATCGACTCCAAGTTCTCCCACTTGGCCTGGATCAACACCCCGCGCAAGAACGGCGGCCTCGGCCCCATGAACATCCCGATCCTCGCGGACGTCACCAAGACCATCTCGCGCGACTATGGCGTGCTCCTCGAGGATGCCGGCATTGCGCTCCGTGGCCTCTTCATCATCGACGACAAGGGCATTCTCCGCCAGATCACCATCAACGATCTGCCCGTTGGCCGCTCGGTCGATGAGACCCTCCGCCTCGTCCAGGCTTTCCAGTACACTGACAAGCACGGCGAGGTTTGCCCCGCTGGCTGGACCCCTGGCAAGGCCACCATCAAGCCCGACGTCAAGGACTCGCAAGAGTACTTCAACAAGCAGTAAAAGCAAAAGTCTGCTCTTTTGTGTGTGTGCTTTTGCCTGCATGTCACCGCCATCCTCTTCGATGCAATTTGGGATGAAACACCTGTCAAAGACCAGTGCCTGCCGACCCTGTGGAAATTTCGCCATGTTCTGCATGCCACTTGTTGTTGTTTTGTTTCTGGGGGTTTTGTTTCCGCATTGCTGGTTGAGGTGGGACAAATACACTATCGCTTCATTTACATTTTGTCTGAACAATGAAGGGGGGGAAGAAAAACGTGTCAAAGTCGAAAAGGACAGGATTCCAAAAAAGCCAACAAGCCCGCGCCCTCAACAGCCGCGGCCGACGTCATGGGTTACGACCGTCGTGTTGACCGTCGTGTAGTCCGAACTGGCGCACGCACTTCCTCGTCGTCATCGTCGTCCTCCTGGTCGTCGTCCTGGTCGTCGTCGTCGTCGTCAGACTCTTGATCTGAATTCGCTCGTGCTATGGCTGCTGCAGCTGCTGCAGCTGCACGACGGGACGCAGGGGCCTTGGCGAGTGGTGACGGCGTCACAACAGCGCCGCGGCGAGGCGTCGACCTGGGGGTCGCTGCAACCGCAGCAGCTCGCCGAGACCGCAACACGGACGGAGAGGCGGCTCGGAAGGATTCTTCAGAATCCGAGTCTGCATCAGACCCTGTACGGCTAGCAGAGGACGACTTGGGCGGCCGGCCTCGGCGTTTCACGGCAGATGATGGTGGAGGAGCGGAAGCGCCATCAGCTGAGGTGTCGGCTGATGGTTGTCTGAGGGTCTCCTGTCTGGCTTGGCTCATTGGCTGTAGCTGGAGTTGTAGTTGTAGTTGTAGTTGTAGTTGCAGTTGGAGGTGCAGTTGCAGTTGCAGTTGCAGTTGCAGTGGCAGTTGTAGTTGTTTGCACATCGTCCTTCTCAACGGCGTCGGCTTCCATCGCAACCACCTTCGGAGGACCGTATGCAATCTCGGCAGGCCGTCGTCGCAATGCTTCGCCATGCCAGTGCTCCTTCATGCGTTGGTCCAGCACCTTGGTTCGGGGCTCCAGTACGGTGGGAACAAACCCTCCATCGTTGTCGGCAGCCGCCTCGGGCACTTCCGCAGCGCCGCCAGCCTGCTGCTCGTTGGTGACACTCTGCTGCCAACTCTCCATCTGGATTGTTTTGGTGGTGACAAAGTTTGGCAGGATTGGATCTTGCGAATCGCCGCGGCAGATCGGGCAAAAGTACCGCGTTCTGCCTCGCGGCCGTTTGTAAAGCTTGTCGCAGGACGGATGCGTCTGCCGCAAGCAGCCATCGCACTTGTACAATCGGAGCTTTTCTCCGGGATGGTTGACTTTCAAGCAGATTGCGCAGTACTCGTGCTGGCTCCAGCTCCTACGGCGAAAGAAGCAAAGGACAAGTGTCAAACGCGCAATTGAGGGGAAAAAAAACCAAAACTCTGCAAAAGTAGCAAAATGTGCGTTGCACACACGAACGAGCAGAGCAGAACTTCATACTTTGCACATCTGTGGCATAGAACGTGAGCCAGTCGACTGGCCGATCCATCTGTTGGTCGAGTAAACTGCGCGTGTTCGATTGGTGAGCGAAATTACAAAAAATCCGGAAAGGCTCGAACAAGGAAGGAAAAGACAACCTACCTCTTTTCTCGGTAGAATAGCACCAGCCAGTTTGCTGTGGCAGTTTGTGCACGCGTTACATAAAGAGCACACCCATCGGCCTGCGCGAAACGCGTACGAGAAAGTGAGCGAGCAAAAAAAAAAATATACTTCCGCATGCAACTGCGCCTCAGTCTCAGTCGACGGTGCCTTACCCAATGGCATGGTTTTGAGATCGATGCATTGAATGTGATAACCGCGATCGCAAACATCACAGAGAAGCATCTCGGTCTGCAAAAGAAGACGGAAAAGGAATCAACGTCGACAACTCAGCTCCGAGTCAAACACTGATGCTTGTTCGGCAGATACAAGCACAAGCATACAAGCGTGAGCGTTTCACCTCATTTTCGGTCGAGTTGCACATGGCACAGGACTTGCAGTTGGAACACTCCCACCCATACGTTTGAACAGTTTCACCCATCAGTTTGGTCATGTGGAAGCATGATACATGACCTGTGTGGCGCCAAGCAACGACGCAAAGCATGAGGAAATTACACCATCACCATACACCAAAAGCTGCAGACGTAGGGAAACCAAAAAAAAAAAATGATGGCTCACCACCATTGTTGCAGGAGGCGCATGCAACCATGTCGTCGTCTTCGCCAGAGGGTGTGTATTCGTTGGTGCTACCGCATTCAGAGCACGTCAAGCCTGAGATGACACGTCTAGGTTTCTGCGCAAAGTCACATGGAAAACAATTCAGACCAAACGCGACACAGCACGCGCAAGAGGAAATTGAATGACGGTGCCGTTTGTACCTTGATAATACCCGCGGGCAAATCTTCGGCCTTTCGCTTGGGTGCCGGAGGCTGGATTCGGAGAAATCAACGAACGACAAGAACGATTGAACAAACAAACGAAACCCAACCAAACAAAACATCAACACCTCCCCCCCCCTCCTTTAATCCACCACATCTTCTCCAAACATCATTCCGCTATTGTCTGAGCCACTCACGTCCTTCTCTGGAATTGGAACGGCGATGGGGAGCAACGGCGGCCCTGAAACAAACGGGAGCGAAACGCTGACCGATTGCCATGCCGGTCGCGCACGAGGCAGCTGCTTGGACGCAGAGTCCAAGGGGAGATACTTGACTTGCTCTGGTGTGTATCTGCGCGCAACGGGAAGGCGGGGGGATGGGTGGGGACGGGGCCAAGTTAGCTCTGATGTTGTCTGAGGTTGTCTGATGGGACAGCCACACACCCAACCCTGGACCTCGGAGCGCTTACAGTGGGTAGGCATCGCTTGTCTGGCCGTGCATTGTAGCAACTGGATGCTGCGAGACGGCGGTCAACGCTGCGGATATCCGAGCGACGCGCTGCGCTTCGACGAAAACGATACCAGTAAAATGATCGATCGCAGTTGGCCGCGCTCGCCGTCCAATTCCGACCTCGACGTTAAACTCGGCGCACTCTTGCAAGCCCAGTGCGTACTGTGCCAGCATGGTCCTGGATGTCCGCAGGTTGACCCGCTGGGACTCGTACATGGCTGGTGCTGCTGCTTCTGGAACGCGCAACACGGAGGCCAAAATTCACCAACAACCCCAGTCAAAGTGAGCTAGCTGCCTAGCTGCCTCGCGAGCACACATCAAACGTCTCCATTGACTTGTGTGCGCAACATTATCGTCGAAAAAAACCAAAGGGAGAAGAACACATGACAGGGAACGACAGAAACGAGGAGGAAGGGGGAGAATAGCTGCTTTTACCGCCGTCCATTGTTGCAAACACAGGGTAAAGACTGCCCTTGCCCGTCACCGTGATATGTTCGGATTACTCTCAGATTTACTCAGAATAAAACAAAGACTCATGGGAGACAAGAAATTGTACACATTGACAAAAAAAAGCAGTGTCAAATCAAAAACTTCACAGGAACAACCAAACAACACAACTTTTGCATCCACCACAAAAAAAAAAATTGTGTGAATGAGCTGGAACAAGAAGACGTTCGCTTAGTACTCCCAGAGCTCGTCCTTGGTGACAGAGGTCGAGGTAGCCCGGAAGTTGCCCTGGTGCTCGCCCTTGATGTACTTGCCAGAGGCAACGTGCTTGATGGCAAATCGAGTGTGGAGGAGGAACTCAAAGTGGAACTGCTCGGGGGCGGCGCCGGTGGCGGTGAAGCTGCCGTCGCCCTCAAGCTTCCAGTACTTGCCGTTGGCGCTCTTGAAGGCGTAGACACCCTCGTTGGCCTCGAGGGAGAGAACCTCGTGCTCGACACCGTTGGCAACAATAGCCTCCTTGGCCTTGGTGGCAACAAAGCCGTACTCGCAGCGGAGGACGAGCTGAGGGCGGTTCTTGAGGGTGAGGGTGATCTTGGCAATCTCGTCAATCTCGTCGCCGGTGGCAGCGTACGAGCCGTTGGGCTTCATGGCCACAAACTTGCCGTTGGAGGCCTTGAGGGCAACCTGGTGGCCGAGCCAAGTGGCGTCGAAAAGCTCAGTGTCGCCACGCTTGTCCGAGGTGGCCTTGATGGCGCCGTCCTGCGAGGTCCAGTACTTGCCCTTGTTCGAGCGGAAGGCAACCTTGCTGCCAACAAGCTCCATCTGGAAAATCTCGGCGTCGGTCTCGTCGCCGATGGCCTGGTGGGCCTTGATCTCCTCAGTCTGGCGGATGGAGACGCGCTTGCCGTTCTGGCCGGTGAGGAAGAACTGGGGGTGCGAGTCCTCAAGCTCAAAGAGCTCGTCCTTGCCGACCTGGGTGCGGCGGGCCTGGAGGGCGCCCTTGGGGCCGTAGCCCTGGAGGTACTTGCCGTCGTTGGCCTTGAGGGCAATCTGAGAGTCGTTGAACTCGATAATGTAGAGAGAGTCGTCGTTGACAGCGTCGACGAGCTTGCCGCTCTTGTCGAGGAACTTGTTGTTCGAGGCGCGCAGAGCATACTTGCCGCCCTTGAACTCAAAGGTGACGAGCGCGTCGTGGCCCCACGGGATGGCCTCGTCGGCAGTCAGCTCCTCGCCAGCAAGGTGGACGTACATCTTGCGGTTGACGTTGCGGATGCAAACCTGGGGGTGCATGGCAAGGTGGATGGACCACTTCTCAGACTCGCCAACCTCACGGCCGAAAGCGTGCAGAGACGCCTCCGTGCCACCAAAGTAGTAGCCGTGGGTGGACTTGAGCGCCCAGCGGCCGTCAGCCTGGGGGACGACAGTCCACTCCTCGTTCTTGCCCTTCTCCTCGGCGGCGCCGTTGAACTCGCCCTTGGGGCCAGCGCTCAGGTACTTGCCGTTGGGGCTGCGTGGATTTGGGGAAATAAGTAGGACATGGAGGAGGGGAAAATCAAACAATGTGAGCATCACAGTTGGTTGGAGTGCAGGAAGAGACGAAGAGTCAGCAATCATTCAAGATGTGGGAAGGAATGAATGGAAGGTGGTGCAGAGGAAGGTGGTGCAGAGGAAGGTGGAACTGAACATCAAGAAAAATAAATGGAAAACAAACCGACCACCGCAAAATTGAACGTGCAGCACGAGCAAGCGATGCATCCAAAGAAAGGGGGAAAGGATGTGTCAAACCAAACGGGCATCAAAGAGGCTGCAACTGCCCAGCGCACGAGACGAAAGAAAGAAAAAAAGCAAAGCTGAAAATAAAATAAAATAAAGTAAAAATAAAAAATAAAAAGCACCGCACCAAGAAAAGAAAGTAGTGCCAAATCCAGCCGCAAAACAAACAAAACACATAACAAACAACATTGAAATTGAAACAACTAAAAAAAAAAAAAGGCACAAGCAAGACTTCGCCGGATGCACAACATGGGGACAGGGAGCCCGACAGGAGCTCTGCGTCCAACGCAACAGTCCCTCGGGCGTCGCCAAACCATCCGCCCGCCGTCGACGATTGCAGCAATCGAGAGAAGGAAGAGAAGAAGAAAGAGAGAAAAAAAAAAAAGGAAAAAAAAAAAAGGAAAAGGAAAAAAGTCGATGACATGGAGCAACGCGCAACTTACGTAAGGAAGAAGACGACGCTCGAGCCGGGGTTCTGCTCAAGAGTGAAGATCTGCTTCTTGCGGAGGAACGGGCCTGGTCAAAGCGCGGAAGCAGAGCACGGAAAACGCAAAGCAAAGCAGCGCAAACTGTGAGTGTTGAAGAGTTTTTTTAAATAAAAAATAACAAAAAACACAAAAAAAAACTTTTGTTTTTTGGCGAGATCGCTAGTATTTGTTGAGGAAAGGCAGTGGCACAAGCGACGGAGATTCAGCGCACATGCAACTGATTCTCAAGGCTGTCGTTGGCAGAACGCCGACAAAAGCGAACGCTTGCAGTCGAGCGAACGCGCAGCAGAGACACCGCGAAAGTTTCACGGCCACACTTCAAAAAAATAATAATAAAAATAAAAATAAAAAAATCGAAAAATAAAAACAAGAAAAACAAAGTATCGAACACCTATTGTTGCAGTGCAAGGAACGAGCGCGACCGCCAGCATACACCGATTGGCATTCGTGGCAAACTGCATGTAGCGCAGCGAGCTTCAGAGGCGCCGCACGGCGATGAGTCGAGGTGCTCCCTCAGCAAAACAAGCGGCGGAACACTGTGTGTTTTTTTTTTTTCTTTTTTTTTTCTTTTCTTTTTTTTTTTTGTGGTCTTTTCTTCAATCGATCGCGTTTGCACAGAACAACATCCAAAAACGCGCGGCGGTTCAACTTACTGCTGATGTTCATCTGGTTGCCGAAGGTCTCCTGGGTCAGGTACTTGCCGTTGTTCAGCAGGCCAAGGGTCCACTTGAGGGTTTCAGACATGGTGTTTCGGTGAGGGGTTGTTTGGTGAAATTGGGAGTGAGCTGAACCTGCTTTTGGAACAGGATTTTTGTGTGTTTGTGTTTGTTTGGCTTGAAAAAAAATAAAAAAAAAACAGGAAAAACCAAAAAACAAGAAAAAAATTCGTCCTGATTCGAACGCCACAACCCCAACACCTTTTGTTTGCTTGGACGGCCAACCGGGAGATCGAGAGCATGTCAGCACGATCAGAGGCGTGGACGGAGAGTGCATGGGCTGGACACGGTGAGGCGCCCATCAAATACAAAAAATAACAACAACAAAAAAATGACAAAAAATAAATTGTCAAAGGGCTGCGGTTTGGTTGTTGAACAGACAACAACAACAAGCAACGGTTGCTTTGGTTTCAGCGTTCCATTTGAAAAGCACAGCGGTCGCCAGTAACACTCAAGTCTGATTCAAGCGATTGCGAGTGAGGAATGGCATCCCGCGGGTTCGGACTTGCGAGCGATTTGGCCAAAGAAAAACGTCGGATTGCCCACAGTTGCAATGGCAACCTGGAAAAAACGCTCCAAATGCTCCAGACGCGACCGTTCCCGGCTGGACGGGCCTCGATTTTGGCGCCTGATGAATGTCCAATGTTTGGAATTGACGTGGTAGGCGCGGCGCGGCCGTAGAACAACTTGTTGTCATTTTTGGGACTTTAAGTCGTCTGCCAGGTACTTTTTGCAAGAGCGCAACTTGAACTGCAAAAATCAGGGTTTGCGAAAACGCCTCGTACCGCAGTCGGCACTGCAACAATCGATTAAAAATCACCACGATCTATCATCCTTTCAAAATCCATCGCTCAAGGTCGAACGTAGCCGACGATACGAGGTGTTGATTCGCGCAAAAGTTGTAAATGGAAAGAACCGCTCGTACCTTCACACATTTCGCCCTTTGCCTGTTGCAATTGATAGTCAATTATATTTTGAACGTGAATGTATCCACGGGTTGGGCTTTACTATCCCACGAAAGCAACAGAAAGCCTCCTCAAAAGTCGGGTCGGTTTGAACGCCCGCAAAAGCAGCACTTTGTTTCGCTTCGGCCCCATTCTCCGACAACGTCTCGTTTTCATCGAGCATCATTTTCTCCCCATTACATATGACACCCGCTTGTAACTTTCTGCTCATTGTCTGAGCCAGTCTGCTTTTTTCTTTCGATTCCCACTACACAAAAAGCATGGATCGGCAACAACCCCAGACGGGCATGTATTACATCTGCGGCAGCGCAAGTACGTTCAGCACACGCACAACACACAGCCTACTGACGGGCGTCTGCGATGGTGGGACAGGGGACGGGGAGCAGCCAGCGCAGGACGAAGAGAACGTGGAGACAACGTTCAAGAAAGACCATGCTTGCCTCAGCTTTGCCCCCCTCTTTCGCGCGTCCGCTCCTCCTGGTTTTTGGGGGCACCACACGCCTTTCACACTTCCCTTCCTTGACACTTCCAGTCTCCCTTGCGCTGCAATCAGCGCGAATAAGCTCTGGTCTTTGAGCTCTCACTTTTTTTTTTTTTTTTTTTTTTTTTTTGCTTCTTCCTTCTTTCCCAGATTGCCGTGCCCGCAACGAGCTCAAGCAACGGGATGCCATCAAGTGCACCGCATGTGGTTACAGAATCATGTACAAGGAGCGAACGCGACGAAGTAAGCCGACCTCTGTTGGAAGCATGCAGAAGAGAGCGTCGTCTCCACATGCATCTGCACAATACTGCTCTTGTCTTGTTCTCACTGCTCTTGTCTTCGTTCTTGTCGTTTCCAGTGGTTCAGTTCCAAGCTCGTTAACACCCTTTACATACATAGTCACACGCTGCGCGACGGGATTTTTGTCTGCCTGTTGATTTCATCCAACGCCATTTTTTTTTTTGTTCTTCCCAGCTTCCACACTCTTTGTTTCAATCACGCAGCAGCAGAGTATGATAGGTGTACAATTTGTTTTTGTTTGGTTCAGCAGTACAACGGGCAGTGAAAAACGGGGGCAAGGCAACAATCATCCAGAATGACGCAAGAGAAGTAAAAAAGGACTTGCGCGAGGGGGAAAAAGAAAGAAGTCCGGATCGTTTACCCGAGTGCGCCAGAGCGCATGGCGTTTTGATACGAGTTGGGGTCGTCTTTTTGGTCAGGGGTGATCTTGATCATATCGTCAATGCGCAGAATTGTGATGGCAGCCTCAGTCGCAAACTTGAAGCTCTTGATTTTGCTCATGGCGGGCTCAAGAACACCGGCAGCCAAGTTGTTACGAACAACGCCCTCGATCAAGTCAAGGCCAGTCCTGATGTTGCAAAAGAGACAAACAAAGAGGACGGGGGCAAAAGTGAGCTTGGAGGCACAACAACAACAACAACTGCTACTACTACTACGACAACAACAACAACAGCAACAAACCCCCCTCCCCCACATACCACTGGAGCTCAGTCTTGGTAGAATCGACTTGGGCAGCATTGTGGTAGGCACGGAGCTTGGCAACGAGGTCGGTCGAGTCCTTGGCAGCGTTGCCAGCCAGGGTCTTGGGAATGACGAGGAGCGAGTGGGCAAACTCGGCAATGGCGAGCTGCTCGCGCGAGCCGAGAGTGGTGGCAAAGTTCTCGAGGTAGATGGAGAGGGCGGCCTCGACGGCACCACCGCCGGGAACGAGCGACTTGGACTCCATGACACGCTTGACCACGCAGAGAGCGTCGTGGACGGAGCGTTCCATTTCGTCCAGCATAAAGTCGTTTGCGCCGCGCAGAATGATGGAGGAGGCGGGGTGGGCCTTGGTGCCCTTGATGAAGATGAGCTCGTCGTCGCTGATGCGGTCCTGAGCAACCTCATCGGCGTGGCCGAGCATGGAGGCGTCAAAGCTTTCCTCGCCCTCGAGGTTGGCGAGCGTCAAGCACAGCGTGGCACCGGTGGCGCGGGCGATGCGCTTGAGATCTTCTTTTCGGCAGCGGCGGACAGCCATGGCGCCAGCCTCAACAAAGTACTTGAGGCAGAGATCGTCAATGCCCTTGGTGGTGAGAATGACGTTGGCGCCAGTGGCCAGAATCTTCTGGATGCGCTCCTTGGTGATGTCCGCCTCGCGTTGACGGATGGCCTCGAGCTTGTCTGGGTCGTCCACGAGAACGTTGACGCCGAGGTGCATGCGCGCCTTCTGCAGGTTGATGTCGAGCACGGCAATCTTGGCGTTCTCAATGCGCTTGGGCATGGCCTGCGAAGCCACTGTGCAGTTGAGGGCGTAGCCCTTGACAAGGACAGACTCGCGAGCGCTCTTGCCGTGCGCCTTGAGCACGTTAACGGCCTTGACGGGGCACTTGCGGTCGCCGTTTGCGTTAATCTTGGACACGGCCTCGAGTGCGTCCACAATCATGTTGGAGAAGAACTCTGACTCGGCGCCAATAATCTTGGACGACATGGACGTCTTTGCGGCGTTGACAATCGACTCGCGGCCGAGCGAGTCTGTGCTGATCGACAGGTGCTCCTGGATGTATCGCACAGCCTCCTTGCACGCCAGTCGGTAGCCGGCAATGATGGATGTCGGGTGGATCTTGCACTTGACAAGCTCGTCTGCATTCTTGAGCAGCTCTGCAGCCACAATAACGACCGAGGTGGTGCCGTCGCCAACCTCCTGGTCTTGCAGCTGAGCCAGCTCGCACAACACCTTGGCAGCAGGGTGCTCGACATCCAGCAGGCGGAGGATGGTAGCGCCGTCGTTGGTGATGGTGACATCCTGTTTTTTTTTTTTTTTTTGTTTTGTTTGGTGTTGTTTGAATTCAAGTGACGAGGGTGAGTATGGCAACAGAGGGGTTGTCAAAGAGCAGGTTTGCACGGGTTGATGTACAGCCATCGCACTGTGTCTGATGCTTCTGTTGTTGTTCGAGCTCGATTTTTTTTTTTTTTGTTTTTCGTAATGCTGATCTAACAGTTTCGCTGAATGAAACCCAACGAAAAAAAAAAAAAAAAAAAAAAAAAAAAGTCCTGCCGCGTGTTTCAGAGCGCTTTTTGCTTTCTGCTGGGAGTTGCTGCTGTACGTGCTGCTGTGACCTGCGCATCGGACTGCGCACATCCATCTACTCATCGACGACGACTCCAACCTGACAGCAGGGGTGCGCGCGGTGACGCTCCCGACGAGACCGCGGGAACAAAAAAAACGGACGAGAATTACCAAAAAAAAAAAAAAAAAAATTCACAGATCGTGAAAAAAAAAAAAAAAAAAGAGGTTAACATACACCGATTTCGTCGACCATCATCTTGTCCAGACCGACCGGGCCGAGGGAGCTCTTGACAATGTTGGCGACCGACATGGCAGCCATGACTGCAGAACACGAGGACAAAACAGAAGCAGGTTGAGACAAACAAAAAATAAAAAATAAAATAAAAATAAAATAATAATCAAAGTTGGCTGCGCTTCAATTGCAATGTACACTCAACCGCCCCTGTCTCAACACCAACCCACACAGGAACACAGAAACGAAGCAAGCGGGCATACCATTTTGTGTGCGGATGCTCTGGCCGCTGGTGCGCTGGCCGTCGACAGAGAGAGTAGTCATTTTTCTCAACGCAGAACAAGGAACAAAGAAAAATGAAGTGAGCTCTCGAAGAACGAGCATCCAAATGCTGCAAATCAAAAATAAAGGAAAACGAGACGAAAGATGGAAACATCAGGTCTATATTAATGGTCGGAGGACAGGGCAAGGATCAGAGGGCGACAACTGGCAGCCACGCACCCTTCGCATACGCACCAAGCTCGCTGATGCAATCTTCCGAAGCCCCGGTCACAGTAAAGACACGCGTAATAGCCTGAGGGTGCTTGCGCATCCACCATTCGCCGTAGCGGAGGGCTTGCTCGCGAAGCTTGGCAGCCTTTTGCCGGCTCGTGTTGGCGTTCGGCTGCTGACGACTTAATAATCTGGAGTCCTTGCTCGACGAATCTCCTCCGGCGTCGGATGCATCACACTTGCTCGTTTCTGTGGCATCTGGGATTGGGACTGAGGCATTCTGTGGCATCTGGGATTGGGACTGAGGCATTCAAATGGAGTTCGGCCAGCTTGGATGCGAGACTGTCCGCGGAGGTCGGTGCGATTGCTGGCAAAGTCTCGGTTTCGGCTGCTTGACGAGCAGGAGACAAGTCCTCATGGCCCGGTGGTGCACTTGTACAAGGCTCCTTTGGGTTGCCTTCAGTTTTTTCGATTTGGTTGCGGCGAGGAGGAAACTCGATCAGCTTGACCTCGACGACCGCAAATTCGCTCCCAGACGCTGCATGGAGCACCAGGTCGCCGCTCCCGAGCCGCTCACGTCGCTGCTCGCGAGGAATTACTTGGCGTCCACCATCAGGGCTCCCGCTCGCATCCCACTCGTGCTCGTAGACGTACGGAAAGTGCGCGAGGACACTGCCGCTCTGCTGCAACAAATGGTCCACCAGCCAAGCATGCACGAGCGTTTCGCGCGCATGGGCGACGGCGGCTGAATCAGGACGCGGTGTGGGCTTTGATGCATGTGCCTGCTGCCTGCCAGCCTGGACGTTGGTCGGCGAGGCGCGCGATTGGGATTTCGCTCCCTTCTTCTTCGGCTGGCCTCGTGGCTCAGAGAAACCTGCGCTCATCGTCTCAGGCGTGAGTGCCGTAGCCTCAGCGTGCACAGTTTCAGACGGTGCATCGGACACTGCCTGCTCTGCGCCGGACGCGGATGGGCCTGATCTGCTTGCTTCTGCTGGTTGTGCATCGGCTCTTGCTGCTTCCGCGAGCTCGTACTTGGCAAGCAAGTCGAGCACTGCCTGAGCTCGCGCAGCACACGCTGCGATTCGCGCACGAACATGGACATCCTGTGCTTGGATGCGCTCCATCCTTGGGCTGATGGTTGGCTTGGCACTCTTGGCTGTCTGCATCAGAAAGCCTGCTAAAACAACACAAAACAGCGACTGGTCTGAGCGTTTACGTTGTTTCGCAACGCATGTTCGAGTTTTTTTTTATTTGTTGTCACAAACTGGTGTCTGAGCTTTGGCTTCATGACAGGTGATTTGCCGCGACAATCAAGCGAACACAACGCGGCAACTGCGATGTTGCTGTTTGTGCTTTCGTGATTCGCCTTGTTTTGCACTCGATGTTTAAGCCGAATCAGAATACTGGACTACTGTACGCTTGCTCCGCCGCTTGCGACTGGTAAGCTTGATCACCGATCCACGCTGTTGCGATGATGGGATGTGTCTCCTTGGTGATCCATCCTCCTGTTCCGGAACAGTCCGTTGATGAATCAACCTCCCGTGGTAGTGTGCACGAGTTTCCCCCGGCCGGGCCCCATGACTACCAATTGGGGGGTGTCTTGTATTTTGCTCACTTTTGATCCTTTGGGGATGAGGGGAAGGGAAGGGTGAGGGGCTGTGTTTCCCCCCTTGAGATCCACGCGTTCTCTCTCTCTCTCTCTCTCTCTCTTTCACTCGTCGTTGACACAATTTCCCTTTCCCCCCCCCCACACCTCCTCCTCCTTCTAATCTTCATCTTCCTCATCCTTTCCATCTTTGATTTTGCACCCCAGTTCTCATTCCCCCTCCCCTTGTTGTTCAGAAGGGTGAATCTGTTATTTTTTATTATTATTATTATTTTTATCATTATTCGCTTCTCCCTCCTGAACTCGCTTCACCAGCCGCAACGCAAATGGAGCAGCAGCAACAGCAGCAGCACCGTCACATGGGCCACATGGGCCTTGCTCACCTGCCGGCCGGGCAGCGCGGCTCTCGTGAGCGGATCAACCTGACTGGCCTCGTCCATGACACCGCCTCAGATGGCTCGTCCTCTGCCGGCGGTCAGTCCATCGCGATCGGCATGCCCTCAATCCACAACAACATCAACATCAACAACATCTCCGGCAGTGGCAACATTGGCAGTGGCAGCAGCAGCAGCAGCGGCGGCGGCTCGTCCTCGTCCTCGTCCGCCCACTCGGGCCCGTCCCGCAGGGAGCAGATCGGCACTGCGTTGTTCTACGCCGTCTCGTCCCTCCTCATCATCTTTGTCAACAAGATTGTCCTGACCACGTACGGCTTCCCGTCGTTCATGGGCGTCGCGCTCGGCCAGTTTGTTGCCACCATCGTCACGCTGCAAGTGCTCAAGGCGCTGGGCAAGGTCACCTTCCCGGATCTCTCCATGCACGTCGCCAAGATGACCTTCCCGCTGCCCTTGCTCTTCTTCCTCAACACGGCCAGCGGACTGGGTGGCACAAAGCTCACAAGCCTGCCAATGCTCACCGTGCTGCGTCGCTTCTCCATCTTCATGACCATGGTCCTCGAGTACTACATTCTCGGCGTCTCCTCCACGCCCAAGGTCAAGCTCAGCGTCGGTCTGCTCATCGGCGGTGCTCTGATCGCTGCCGCCGACGATCTCGCGTTCGATCCGTTCGGATACTTTATGGTCACAGTCAACAACCTGTGCACCGCCCTCTCTGGTGTTGTCCTCAAGAAGAAGCTCGACAGCAAGGAGCTCGGCACCATTGGCCTCCTCTACTACAACTCGCTCTTCTCGCTGCCATTCTGCTTTGCGTACTTTTTCCTGTTTGCTCCCGCCGAGTGGAACGCCATGCTCCAGTTCCAAGGTTGGGGCGATGCCGGCTTCCAATTCCAATTCCTTCTCTCATCCGTCATGGGCCTGATCCTCAACTACTCCATCTTCCTGTGCACCAAGGCCAACTCGCCGCTCACAACCACCGTCGTCGGCTGTCTCAAGAACATCCTCACCACCTACCTGGGCATGTTCCTCGGTGGCGATTACATCTTCTCCATGGCCAACTTTGTTGGCCTGAACATTTCCGTCTCTGGTAGCGTGTACTATTCTTACGTCAAGTTTATCGAAGAGGCACCAAAGGCCCGACCCGCCAAGTAACCGCCCAGTTTCTCCTTGCTACGGCTGGCTGGCCGCGCCGCTTCAAGAGCGGTTTTTGTTTTTGGTATTTCTTCAGGATCTGTTTTCTGATTTGTTTTTTTTTTGTGCTTTTAGTATTTTATCTCGTGTTTCGAGTTTGCAGCTTTGCATTTGATCGTTGTCGAGCGTTGTTGTTGTTGTTGTTGTTGTTGTTGTTGTTGTTGTTGTTGTTGTGTTGTGTTGTTGTTGTTGTTGTTGTTGTTGTTGTTGTTGTTGTTGTTGTTGTTGTTGTTGTTGTTGTTGTTGTTGTTGTTGTTGTTGTTGTTGTTGTCGTTGTCGTTGCCCTTATTATCGTCATTGTTATTTGTTGATCTATCAATGGGTAATTTCACACACACGCACAAAAATCGAATTGCTTGCTTGCCCCCTTTTTTCTTTCTTTCCTTCTTTCTTTCTCTTTTCGTCAAAAAACAGAAGCAATGCCATCCATTTCCATGTAGACCATCTTGAGCTGGGTAAAGTTCTCGATCGATTCGGTGCCATTCTCCTTGCCAATGCCGCTTTCCTTGAAGCCGCCAAAGGGAACTTCGACAGGCGCCAAGTTGTAATTGTTCACCCAAACGATGCCAGCTTGCAAGGACGCAACAGAGGTGTGGGCGCGTTGCAGCGAGCTGGTGAACACTCCTGCGGCCAGCCCAAAGGATGTGGCGTTGGCGCGCCGAATGACCTCCTCGTCCGTGTCGAAAGGAAGGATGGACATGACGGGGCCAAAGATTTCCTCCCGCACAATGGCCATCGAGTCGGAGCACTCATCGAAAACGGTGGGCTCGACAAAGTAGCCGTCCTTGAAAGCGGCGTCCGTGGGCTGGAAGCGGTTGCCTCCTGCAATCAGCTTGGCGCCTTCTGCCTTGCCCTTGGCAATGTAGCCAAGCACCTTTTGCATGTGTGGCTCGCTGATGAGTGCTCCAACATTGGTCTTCTCGTCCATGGGATTGCCAATAACAATGCCTGGTTGGGCTGTTGCACTCATGCGCTCACGCAGCCGGGCAATAAACTTGTCGTGAATGCTGCGCTGGACAAAGACGCGCGTGCCGTTGGTGCACACTTCGCCCTGCGTGTAAAAGTTGGCCATGAGAGCGCCAGAGACGGCGTCGTCGAGTTTGCAGTCGTCAAAGACAATCAGCGGCGACTTGCCGCCGAGCTCGAGCGTCACCTTCTTGAGCGAGTCGCTGGACGACCGCATCACATGCTTGCCAGTGCCGCTCTCGCCAGTGAACGTCACTTTGGCAATGTCGGGATGTGCGGTTATGCCGCGGCCAATGTTGCCGGCGCCCTGGACAACGTTAAAGACGCCCGCGGGAACACCAGCCTCGGTCAAGATGGCGGCGAGCTCCACGGCCGACGACGGCGTGAGCTCACTTGGCTTGAACACCATCGAGTTGCCACACGCCAGGGCGGGGGCGGTCTTCCACGAGGCGATCTGGAAGGGGTAGTTCCACGCGCCTGGGCCGAGGAAGAGATTTGTGTGTCAAAACAAAAGAGGGATTGCTCGTGAGTGACACCATCGATCAGAGTGCGAGTCAGGATGCACAAGTCAGGATCTCTCCGAAAACAACATTGCTGCGCGCGCGACTCACCAATTCCAGCGCAAACACCCAAAGGCTCTCGAATCGTGTAGGCAAACGATCGTGCTGGTCGACTGGCCACGGACGTGCTAAAGTTGCTAAAGAACTTGCCATGCATGGTGGCAGCAACACTGGCATAGTACTCGAAGACGTCTGCGCCAGAGTTGATGTCGTAGCTGAGCGCCTCGGCAATTGGCTTGCCGACATCGCGCACTTCGACTTCCGCGAGCGCTTGCGTGCGATCGCGGATGAGCTGGGCGGCCTTGCGCAGGATGCGGGATCGCTCGGCGCCATTCAGGGCGGCCCACTCGCGCTGGGCGGCCTGGGCGACGGCGACTGCGTGGTTGAGCTCGCGCTCGTCGGCGGACTGCACCTGGGCAAACACCTGGCCCGTGGCTGGGTTGCGCTTGTCAAAGCACAGCGCCGCACGAGCAGCGTCGACAGGCACGCGTGCGCCGTTAATGTACGAGGTAATGATGGGCAGCGCGGTGGAAGAAGCCATTCGACGGCAGACGGAAGCAGACAAGGCGGACGAGGCGGACGGTTGAAGGCGCACGACGACGGACTGCAGCATGCGTTTTCAGGTGAGTAGAGTAGTTGCTCTGCTGCTGTTTGTCAGTTGAACGAGGTTTGAGTGATGGAGCAACAAAGAAAAAAAAACAAACAAAAACAGGCGAACAACAGTCCGGTGATGATGACGAACAACAGAAGGAGTGAGTTTGGCGGTTTTTTCCAATTCGCACTCGTGTGGGTTCGGCAAGTGTAATAACAACAACTAAACACCGAAGAGTTGATGGTGACGATGATGACGATGATGACGATGATGATGAAGATGCTGAAGCGGAGATCAGGAAGTGTGTGTGTGCGTGTGTGTGTGAGCGCAAAAACGTGACCCTCTCTGACAACAGCTGTTCCGACCCATGCGGCGTAATGTCAACCTGCTGCCGTTGTTTGGAAAACGCAACGTGAGACACAAAAATCGACCCCCCCGGCTTTTGCTCTTTGAAACAGGACAGATCAAGAAACAAAAAACACAACCCATGGTAGGCAAGCACGGCCGACGGAAGGACAAAGAGAGGGGGAAGCGAGGAAGCGATGAGCGTTCAGTTCTGTTCTGCCGCAGTACCAATTGCGTAGCACCAAACCTGAACGCTCAAGGTGCTGCCTTGCGTTCTGTTTGCGTTGGTATGTCGTATGCGATCGTATCAAAATGCCGCGTCTACGCAACCTTGTTCCGCTCGTCGAGTTCGTCTCGTTGCGAAGCCCAATTTCAGGGGTTTCCGTTCTCTTTTTACCTCCGCCTCCTCAACAACACCTCTCCATCCCCCACCTCTCTCTCGCCCTGTCCTATAGAACAAGACGCCGCTTTTCGTGTCCGAGTGTGCGAATGTGAGTGTGAATGCGTATGTGTGTCCTGATTGCGTGCTGACATTCGCCCTGACAGCTGCGGGCCATCTGTGTGGGGTTGGTTCGCTCGCCTATTTCAGCTGCTTCCGTTCCCGTTTCGCTCACCTCTTCAGTCCTTGTTTTTTTGGTTTTTGGTTTTTCGTTCTCTCACTCTCTCTTTTCACACTTGCTCAACACTTACCAAAAGTCAACAAGTTTGCGCGTGTTGTGTTGTGCGTTGAACATCCCCAAGCTACTCTACAAGCCCCAACTACTCTTACGTCCAAAAATGTTCGCTCGCTCGGTTTCGTGTGCGGTTCGCTCGACCGCTCGAATTCTCGCACCTGCCAGGTCTGCTTCGACCAGTGCTGCTGCTTCTTCTGCTGCTGCTGCTGTTGCTACTGGCGCAACTCCTTCCATTGCCGCGCTGCGTGCTGCCACACAGCAGGTCGCTCGTCTCTCCACGGCGGCGACGGCTCGTGGGTCATCAGCGACGGCGGCGGTTTCCGACCATGCGCAATTCGCCACTGAGGCTTCTTCCTCCACCCCCAAGCACGCTGCTGCCACCGGTGTCCGCCAAGTCATTCCCATGGGCTCGCAGTCCCTCAAGTGCGCCTGGGCCGACGGCAAGGCTGCTGAATTCCACTACATCTGGGTAAGCGACAACACTGTGCGACCCATTTTGGTCACAGTGACCCAGCGTTTTTGTTTTTTGCTTTCTTTTCTTTCGTTTGATCTGTTCATATTCTTCGAGACCCCTCTGCTGATGCACAATCTCCCCACCACCTCCATCGGTCCGCTCACTTGAATCGAATGTCTATGATTGTGACTTGCCTCTGATGACAGCTTCGCGACAACTGCCATTGCCCGGCTTGCCGGCATCCAGTCACGCACCAAAAGGTGCTAGACACTCCCTCTCTCCCAATCAACATTGAACCTGCGTCGCTGCGTGTGAACGCGGATGGCAATGTCGACATTGTCTGGAACAACGACGGCCACAAATCGACGTACGACGCCGCCTTTTTGCGCCAAAACATGTACTCGCTGTACGAGACCCGACCCCCGACCAACTCGACGCGCAAGGAAAACATGACGCTGTGGGACCAGAACATTATTGAAAGCCAGCTGCCCATCATGGAATACAGCGAGCTTGCGACCGACGACAAGGGCGTGCTCAAGTGGCTCAAGATGCTCGAGCGCTACGGTGTTGCCGTTGTGCGTGGCTCGCCGGCCGAGAAGGAGCAGGTGCTTGCGATGGGCCGTCGCATTGCGCACATCAAGGAGACCAGTTATGGCTTGCTCTTCGATGTGCTCAACGAGCCGCGCCCCGGCGCGCATTTGGCCTACACTGGCGTGGAGCTCAAGCATCACTCGGACATGAACTATATGGAAAAGTCTCCTGGCATCCAGATTCTGCACTGCATTCGCGCCGACGCGACCGGTGGCGAGAGTGTCTTTGTGGACGGATTCTGGATTGCCGAATGGCTCCGCAAGACCGACCCGACCGCCTTCCAGGTGCTCTCGTCCATCGACGTCGGGTTTGGCATCAAGAACGGCGACCACTCGTACATTAACCACGTCCCGATCTTTTGCGCAGATCGCAACCAAGAGGTGTACGAGGTCCACGTCAACAACCGCACCATGCAGCCCTTGATTTCCCACCCGGACGCCATTGTGCCCTTCTACTCGGCCTTCCGCCAAATCAACGAAAAGATGCGCGAGCGCGCCAGCGAGTGGCGCTTGGACATGCGCGCAGGCGACGTTGTTGCCTTCAACAACCGCCGCGTGTTGCACGGCCGCACTTCCTTCGATCCCTCCAGTGGCGTGAGGCACTTGCAAGGCTGCTACATTGATCGGGATGACTTTGCTTCACGAATGCGTCAGTTGATGGCCAAGCATGCCTCGCATTAGTCGGTTGCTTTTGTTTTTGACACTGTCGTGTGCTGTTTGATACATGTTGTTGTTGCCTTTTGTTTTTGCCTTTCCACATGATGACCCAGATATAGTCAATATGAACATTTCTTTTGATGACAAAGGCTTCCATTGCCTGCCACGATCGAATGTGCAAAGGTGAGAAAAAGAAATCACCAATCGAACAACACCACCAAGAAATCTCTGGTAGCAAAACAAACAAAACCCCCCGAAACCGCGCGACAGTCCAGGATTGTTTTTTTTTGTTTGTTTTCAATTAACTCGAAAGGCCAGAAACAATCTTCTTGGCGGGGGCAAAGTGGACACGCGAGGTCCGGTAGATACGACGCTCGAAAATGGTTTGTCGCCTTGGTGGGCGAGGTGACCCAACCTCAAGAGTGAACATGTAATGGCTGCGGTATTTGCGAGCGGAGCCGGCGCGGCCTCGAGCATGTGGAATGACTCGCTTCAGTGGGGTGGCCCTGCCGACTATCGAGCGCGCTGAAGAGGCACGAAGAAAAAGGAGAAGCACGAAGAAAAAACAAATCAGCGCCCGAGAAACGGCCCTATTCCAAACAATGACCAGGTCGCCAAATTTGAGGCACACTTACAGACAAACAAGTTCTCAATCCGAACGTTCTGCAAGGCTGCGCGGACGGCAACTTCCCGAATCTTGGGCAAGAGGAGCTTTGCGGCGCGCTTTGGGCTGAATTGAAGCTGAAGGATGGCATCCGCCAATGGCAGATTGCTAATCAGGCGAGCAACGAGGTTGACTTTGCGGTAGCCCATTGCGATCGAGCGCAGAATGCCATTGAACTGCACCGGGGGGGGGGAAGAAGAGGAGAAGGGAAGCGGTCAATAGTGAGGGAAAGGTTGATCACCGCACTGCACAGCATGATCAACCACGCACCACCAAAGAGAACAACAACAACAGCAGCAGCAGCAGCAGCAGCAGCAAACACAAACCTGACGCGGTTTACGAGCAACGGGTGCCGGAGGCTCAATTCGTGGACGGAAAACGTTCATGTATCGCTCGTGCTGGCGCTGCTCGTCGGTCAGCTCGGGCTTGGCAGGTTGGCCCGACTGTGGCGTGGCCTTGGGTGTCGGAGGAGCACCGCTGGCTGTCTCATATGCTTGCCGTTCAGCGGCGCGCACGGACGGCGGGACGCGCGCAAGATGCGAAAGCATGCCTTCCTTCCATGTGGGCTCTCCCAGGGCCTTGTCCCACAGGTACCTGTGGGCGGTGCGCTGGCCGCGCTTGGTGTCTTTTGGGCGCGGTTGCTCGTAGCGGAGCTGCGGCAATCGTCGGCGACCAGGCACCTGCGCTTTGACCGCGCTGCTGCTGCCGGTGGCCGACGCCTCTGTTGGCGCCTGTTGGTCCTTGGCGGCGCGATTACTGGACGACGAGAAGTGCAGTGCTGTGGGGGTGTTTTTTTTGGTTGAGGATGAGGAAAGGGTCGTCCAAGTGGAACGCAGGCCAAGCAGACGTGAGCATGGAGGCCAGCACGAGGTTGAATGGGGAATGAGAGGTCAAACAGTCACCAACGACGAGCAGGGGGAACAAACGACTGGGGCTTTGTAAATCACGGACTCCCCCTCCCCCTTGGATATGCATACGATGGAGCAGTGGGGGAGAGGGAGAGGGAGAGGGAGAGGGAGATGAGAGGAAGAGGCAAAGCCCAGAGATCTCGTTTACCTGACATGCGCAGGGCAAGCACTGCCGCCGCTGCTGCTGATGCGTGTGATGATGACACAGTCTGGAGCTGCTGAGCGGGCGTCGACGGGGACGTGGCCTGGGTGAGCACGCGAGCGGCTGCTGCGCCGCGAGAACGAAGCAGAAGCGCACCGCTGCTCAACATTGGTCAATGCAATGGAAAAAGAAGAGACTGAATGATGGAGTGAGATTGGGACTTCAGGTTGTTTGAAAAATTCGAGCCTCCCAGTGCTGTGCCTTCCTTGTCGGTCTATTACCCTCTCGAAAGGCGCTTTTTTTTTTTTTTTTTTTTTTTTTTTTGGTTTTATCTCGGTGTATAGGCTCAATAGAGGACATTCAGCAATTAGAGCTGACAGCGAAATCTTTACAACATGAAATGAGCGTTGGCGCATTTTCATGTTTCTACTGCAAGTAACGCTGCCGCATCTGCCTCCTCCTCGACCACAACCACGGCTCAAGGGACGCAGGCTCAAGGGACGCAGGCTCAAGGGACGCAGGCTCAAGGGACACAGCCGCTCCCTCAACTCGACACCCCATCACCAGCAGTTGTGGCCGCGAGCCTCGCCACTCCGACGACCGAGCTGCTCGCAGCATCGCCCACATCGTGGTATCCACACAGCCGCACGCTCATTCGTGTCAAGAGACCCGAAGAGTTTCTCCTGAGCAAGAATCATGGTAATTGGGACGACGGCATCGAACGCTCGTACGCTGACCTGGCATTGATGGCCTTGCGCGTGCTCGCCTACTACTGGCACGCCGGCCGCTTACCATTCGATCGCTACCTCATCCAGACTGCGGATGTTCCCACTCAACTTTTGAAGCTGGGGCGCGATGTCGCTCCGAAACAGATGCTCGCTGAGATTGTCGAATGCCTCAACCAGCTCGGTCTGCCCTTGGACGAAGGCATGATCGACGGCACAAACGAAGCGCATGATGTGTACGCTCTGCCGCATTTGCGCCTCTACCCGCGATTCGACTGGGACGAGTGGCAGACATACCAGCTGACCTGCCCCCTCCTCGTCCGGCACCTCTTCCTGGCTGTCTGGCACGGTGACATCCCCATCCTGAGACAGAAGCTCGGCGAGCTGTCGGCACTTGTTGACAGCGGCGCTCCGCTGCGCCAGGCGCTGCCGAACCTCAACTTTCAGTCAAAGAGCGATATCCCAGCTGCGGAAGTGTTGAGCATTATCGTCCAGCGAGTGTGTTTTGATAACACGCCACTCGATGAGCGCTCAAGGAGGTGGTGGTATTATCTGCCCAGGAGCAAGACTGACGCTGACCGCACGCTCGCCTCTGTGCTGACCGGCGAGCTACTCACGAGTTGCATTTCGCGCTGCCAAAGCCATGTCACGCTCCTGCATCTCGCGGTGCTGCGGCGCCATGCTGATGTGATCCGCATCCTGGTGACGGAGTGCGGCATGCCCGTCGAGCTCGGCCTTTGGGCCGCAGTGCGGTATGGCCTCGTCGACATGGCCCGGCTGATGGTGGAACTTGGGGCGACACCGACCCGTTTTCTTCTTGATGGGGTCGTTCGCAACCTCGACTGCGACATGCTCCGCTTCCTTGTCGCGGCTGGCGGCGTCGTCACGGCCCGGGAGCTCACTGTGTACACCCTTGAGCACGACATCCCACGCGCTGACTTCCTTCAGGCGTTGCTTGAGCTCGGCGCGCCCATCGACGCTCAGGTGCCGGCTCGGTACTATAATCCGACTTCTGGAAAAAGTACAAGACCACATCTCGTCGATCTGCTGCCTCGCCTGGCAGCCAAGAGTACGCGCATCGTCCCGCTGCTGCTGTCATACGGGGCGCGGAGAGGAGCACGAGCTGCACTGCAACACGCTCTCCTCGCACGCGATCTGGAGGTCTTCCGACTGCTGCTGCAATCCATCCCCATATCCGAGCTTGATATGCATCTGTGGCCCGAGTTAATTCCCCGGCGACTGCCCGAGGCATCCAGGCCAATCTCGTCGGGTGAAACAACTCGTTTCATACTCGCGGTTGTCGAGTACGGGCTGCCACTGCCCAGCGCCCTTCCCGCTGCCGACGGAACCGAGTTTGACTTGTTCGCCAACCGCAAATCGTACGACCTTGCTGGACTCTCGGACACCGAGAAGAGCATTTACCGAGGTGCGCAGTTCGCTGCGGCTTTCGTCGCCCGCAGCGAGGACGCTGCGGCCATTCGCATGCTCATTGACCACGGCAATGGCGCACCCTGGCTTCTGTTGCTTTGTGCGTCTGTTCGGCCTGAGCGCCCCGATCAGTTTGTCTGCCAAAACGTCGAGCTGCTTATTTACGCCTTGTCGCGACTGGAGCACGATGCGGCTGCGCTTGTGAGCGAGTTGTGTTTGCTCGAAACAGCTTGCGAGTTACGTTCGGCCAGTTGTGTTCTCCTTTTGCGGCTACTTGGCATTCCAGTCAACTATAGCCGAGAAGAATTACTTGCTCGGTTGCGCTCTGCGGTCGGTCCAACCTCGCTGCAGCGCGGAGTACCCGAAAACTCAGCGACGGAAATACTGATGGAGGATGAGGCGCAAGTCTGGATTGCCATGCGTGAGTGCTGATGAGTGAGCATGCCGCTGGTTGACATGGCTTTGGGCGGTTGTGCTGTTTGCTTGCTGACAACGAGGGCTGCTTTGCTATTTTCGTTTTTTTTTGGCAGTCACTCCCCCCAAGATGTCGCTGTTGAATAGTGCTCGCCGGGCGCTCTTCCGCGCGCCGCAGCCGTTGCGCCGGTTTCTGTATGATGACGCCCAGCATACGTTTGGCGATTTGTACGAGCCGATTCCGCCGTCGTCGGAACTACTCGCTGAGGCACGCGTGGAAGTATGAGGTGCGCCTTTTGGGTTCTTGTATTTGTATGAGCGTTTTGCTTGAACAATCATTTTGTTAGAACATTTGTTCTTCAAGAAACGACAACGCAGAAACATCTCAGCAAATGTGAAATTGAAAAACAAAACTCAAAAACGCACAATACAGATACATGAGAGAGAGAGAGAGAGAGAGAGAGAGAGAGAGAGAGAGAGAGAGAGAGAGAGAGAGAGAGAGAGAGAGAGAGAGAGAGAGAGAGAGAGAGAGAGAGAGAGAGAGAGAGAGAGAGAGAGAGAGAGAGAGAGAGAGAGAGAGAGAGAGAGAGAGAGAGAGAGAGAGAGAGAGAGAGAGAGATAGAGCAAGAGCTCAAACATGTCTCATCGGCAGCAGCACATTGTTGAAAGTTGCTCGAGATGCGACATTGAGCAACAAAAGCGGCTCTTGCTCAAAGTGAGATAGATCTACAGCAGTAGCTTTGACCTCGTTCGCCCGAACCTTTTGGCTTTCTTTTTGAACTCACATGAATGCCATAAGACTTTACCCTTGTCTGCATGCACAATGCAATGTAATCAATGTCGTCAGTCTTTTTCAATTTTTGTTTTGTTTCGTTTTGCTTTCCACCGCCTAGAAGCTTCGAATGGCGGGAAAACTACGGACTTGAATAAAGATTCAGGTACAACAGTGGACAAATGCAACGATTGATCTCGCGGTTCATTACAAAGTAAAAAAAAAAAATGAGACAATTCAAGGAAAAAACCCGCACGAGCAACAGCACACAAGCGAGATGCATCGACAGAAACGGCGAACCAATGGCCTCACGACGAAACGAGAAACTGTGATGACACACCATGTCTGACCACGGACAAACCAATCCGGTTACTGGTGGCTGAGAGCAGCATAATCGTTGTCGCCCGTGCCTGAGGATTGGGACGATGCACGCTCTCGCTCGGGGCGCGCGTATCCAGCTTCTTTGGGAGCAATCGTTAGGTCTTGCTGCAGAACGGAATAAGCACCCTCATCACCGCCCGCGCTGGGTTCGTGATTCAACGCAGCATACGAGGACACACTAGGCGACGCGTAGGTTGCCTCACTGGTTGAAGAAGAGCCGCCCACGATGGCCGAGTAATGGGTAGCGCGTGCCGGCAGCTCATACTCGGAGGTTGTTGCGAGCTTGGCCTCGCCGTCTTCCGTGTTGCCGCTTTGCAGATCCGCGCTGCCTCTTGGCTTGGCCAGTGTGTCGTAGTGCGAACTAGCGAGGATATTTTTCACCTCGGTCGGAATTTGGTAAAGTTCACATGCGCTATCCCGATCAGCCACAATTTCACGTGTCTTCCTGGCACGGCGGCGGCGGAGTAGCACAACGACCAGGATAATGAGAAGAAGGCAGAGGGCTCCCACAACAGCACCGATGATGGCGGGAGCAGCGTTGCCATCATCACCACCCGCAGCATTGGCAGAAGCCGCTGATGCCGCAGAGGTCAACCAAGCCAGTGTCGCGATTGATGCAGATTCACTCGACGCCGACGCAATCGAGGCCGAGCTGGCAGAACCGAGAGAAGCTGACGATGCAGAAGCAATGGAAGCCGAGGAAAACGATGCAAGCGACGCCGACGAAGCCGTTGCAGCAGACACAGTCGAGGCTGCGCGAGCAGAAATCGAAGAGGTCGAGGCCACTGCCCGAACATCCTCGAGAAGCTCGCGAGCGTAGAGGCCACCGACAAAGGCGCCTGCTCGGAAGTCCACATTGGCGCCTGATCCAACAACATAGTAATCTGAGGGCCAAAATTGCAGTCGCAGTGAGTGAATATACAAACCGCAGGCACACCCCCCCCCCTTTTCGTGGCAAACTACTTACCACCCAGCGGTAGACGACTCGCGGTGGTGTTGGCATAGAGGAAGAGCTTGTCAAAAATGGATGTAAACTGAGCAGTTGTGCCAGTTGCCGCAACAAAGCCCTGCTCGCCAACACGACCGTTGGCGCTGGTTGTGCTGTCAACCGGCAAACCATACGCGCCCATTTTGGGCGTGTAGAAGGTCTGTTCCGTCGTCATGACGGCATCCGCAAACAGTCCGAGCTTGAGCACGCGGTCGAACAGCAGATTGTACTTGAGAGACCAGGTGGTTGAAGCCTGGCAATGGCAATGCAACCAACCCCCTTCGTCAGTGAGCACAACGACAGAATCCCCATTCAGCTCGAAAACGCAAAAACGAGGAGAAACTCACCGCGCCTTTCTCGCGCAGATAATGGTCCGTCGAAAAGGACTGCGCCAGAATCTGGCTGGCAAAGCTTGTGGCCGAGTTCATGTATTGTGCCGCAGCAGTGGTGTTGCCAGTCAGGCTGAGCAGCAGACTGTACGCGCCAACTCCAATCGCACCCTTCATGGCAAGGTTGACGTTGTTCGCAGACGCTGTTCCATACGAGTCCACAAAGAGCTGGCTCGTTGGGAAAGGCAGGCTGGCGACCAAGTAGTTTGCCCAGGTGGTCAGGAGCGGCCAGTACGGTTGCAGATAGGTCAGCGGAGCACCACGCTGGGCGGCAGCCGTGATCATGATCAGCATGTTGGCCGTGTGCTCGACTGGCATGTCGTAGGTTGTGGGAACCGCGGTAGTGCAGAGCGGCCACTGGCCAAGATGCGAAGGAGCCTGCAGAATATCGTGCAACCAACCATACATGCCAAGCTGAGCAAAGCTGCTGCAAGAAACACAAACTACAACTGCAGCTGCAACAGCAACACTTACCCAGCTACGCGTGTACGGGAACGAGGTCTCGCTGTTGGCGTACTTGAGCACAGGAAGCAGCATCTTTGGCACAAGCGAGGGATTCAGCAGCAAGTAGAACGGAGAGGCAAAGAACATGGTGGTCACCGCGTTGACCTGCCCGTTGACCGGACCATTGGTCGAGCTGGTGGCGAACGTTTTCATAAAGACGTAATGCTGTTGTGTGGTCGTGTCGATCGCATGCTCGGTCGATGCAGTGACTTGGCGATAGACGAGCGACAGCAAGGTGGTGTAAGAGTTGGAGCCGCGCTTGTCGAACAGAGTCACAAGGGCAGTGTTGCGGGCGTTGATGGCACTCATGTAGGTGGCATAGTTGGTGTGCATCTGTGCAATCACCGTCAGGATCGTGCCAATCTTTGTCGACCAGAGCGGAGGGAGAACCTTGGAGAAAAAGTTCATCGTGTTGACATTGTCGTAGGCATGAGTCACAAATCGAGTGACATTTGCCGTGGGACTCACAGCCAGGCCAGTCCACCTCAAGGACGGCACGGGCCAGTTATCACTGCCCAAGCGAGGCTTGTTCGTATCGAAAATTGGTGCTGGGTTGCCGTCAACGAACGCATCTCTGGAATTGGTGTCGGTATTGACAGTGCCTACGAGCGCGGCCTCCTTAGGGGCCGACAAGTAAAAGTAGCCCCAGTTAATGCGGTCGTCCGTTGAACTGAAAACTGTGAGGGCAAATCTAATGAGCGCAATCACAATCCTCATTGAAGCACCCTCATTTGCACGAGTCTCACCGGATTGTACACTTGCGCCCATACGAAGAATTGTGCTGGCGGATGTCGACAAGTCGTCCCAAGTCACCGAGGTATTCGACGCATAGGTGACCACAACCTCAGCCGAGTGATCGATATACAAATCAACCGTGTGCGGTGCGCCGTCCATCGACGACAGCTCAAATGTGCAATAAGTCACTGGAGCAGACATCAGCGCGTCATCGTCGAGTAGTGCTGGGGTGGAATATGTCAACAGCATCCGAACGGCTCCGAGCGTGTACGTGTAGATCGTGCTCAGGGGTAAAACCTGCAACATACACATGGCAAATGGTGTGTGTGTGTGTGTGGCTCCACTTGACCATCTCTGCTTCAAAAGTCGACATCTTCCGAAAACATACCTGCACAGAGATGGGATTTGTCGCCAGTTGCGAACCCCCTTGATACGGCTGTCCCATGAAGCGGAAATTTGCACCATCGACCTTGGCATATCCGGCAATGGCTTGAATTCCATCGTTTCTTTGTTGGTTTTTTTTTTCACGCAAATGCAAACCTGGCTGTGAGCCGTCATACGAAGAGCGAAGCCGACGACGAAGGCTTGCGCATTCATTGAATCAACAGCATGTTTGTTCTTGTTGTTGTTCTTGTTGTTGTTGTTGTTGTTGTTGTTTGGCTGTAAAAATGTGCGCTCATTTTGTATTCAACGCGTCTCTTCAACCACCGACCACCACCTCAATACAAGCATCTTTCGCGCTCAACCCCAACGGTACCACAGGGCACAGTGGACACTGTCGACTCCCTCCGTCTTCCAAAAGCTCAAAAACAATCAAACAAACCAAAAAAAAAAAAAAAACCAAAAAAAAAAAAAAAACCACCACAATCAGCCGACTTTTTTGCACTTGCGCAGCGAAACCCGCACACACGACCGCGGCGCGCACAAACACAACCAAACTTACGCGTGAGTCAGCCACGACCTTCCGGGAGAGTCTGCTGCCGACCACATGGAAAAGTACGGATTGTTGGCGAGGACGGGGACTGCTGGCGGGCGAAACGTCAAAACAGTGGCTGCAGCTGGCATGACGATCAGCCGGCCCGCAGTCAGCACCACAGCAGCGAGGAGTAACGCGCGACGTATGCACCGAGCCGTGAACATTATCAGCGCAGTGGAATCTGTTCTTCCTGAGGAGGGTTGACGTTCGTTCACGGAGCACTAATCAAACGGGTTTGACCCGACGGTCGAGGACTGGTCGTAAATTAGTAAAAAAAAATCGAAAATACGCCAAAACAACCTCAAAATACTGCAAATCACAACGTCCACGCTCAAGCACACAATACAACGCTTTGCAGGGGGGGGGGTGGGAAGGCGGGGCAAAATGTTGGACGTAGCGGTACGGGCGAAATATTGGATTTTATTTTCAAGGGTGGGACTGAGGACCTCGTGAGCTGGACGAACAAGCTGAAAGGAGTCTGCACTTGTAGCGAGAGACCGTCAAGGCAGCCGCGAAAGCAAATGTCCAGTCATCACGAAAACAGCATGCAAATAACTTGGCAAAACCATACAAAAGAAGCAAACAGAAAAAGCAAGCAGAAGAAATCGGCCAAAAATTCAACACGGAATGCAAACAATTAAATTGACAGTCCAACCGTTCAGTCGGTCGCTTTCAGCGCGTCTTCTTGTGTTGGCGAATCCTGCGGGGGATGCGACGTGCGCAGTTCCGAGTACAAGGTTTCAGACTGTGGCGCTCCGGAATGGGCGCCTTTCAGCTCGTCATACGTACTCTCAGACACGACTGCGGCTTCAGATTTGGTTTCGGCGCCAGAGACATTTTGCAGCGTGTCATAGTTTGGCTCTGACGGGGTGTGCAGATCGTCATAGGACGGGTCGAACGTAGAATTTGCAACAATGGAGCTTGGAACCTGGAAGAATGGAGCCGTGGAGTCGAATGCTGGCGCGCTTGCGGGCTTCCGAACACGACGGCGACGAAGAACCAGAACAATCACCAGGACAATCAAAAGCAGGCAGACCACGCCGACCACAACACCAATGATGATCGGGGTGGAATCTGAGTCGCTCCCTGCTGCTGCCGCTGCGGACGCCGCGGACGCTGCGGAGGTTTGCCACGCTGCCGACGAAGCCGACGCCAAAGACGCACCGGATGCCGAGCTGACAGTTGCAAGAGACGCAGACGCAGTGGACGCGACAGAGGCGTCGGATGCATCGGATGCCGAGCTGACAGTTGCAACCGATGCCGACACCGACGACGCAACCGAGGCGTCCGACGCGACAGTGGCGTCAGATGCGACAGAGGCAACGGATGCATCGGATGCCGAGCTGACCGATGCAACCGACGCCGACACCGACGACGCGACAGAGGCGTCGGACGCATCAGATGCCAAGCTGGCCGATGACACCGATGCATCAGATGCCGAGCTGGCAGTTGCAACAGATGCATCTGATGCTGAGCTGGCAGATGCAACAGTCGCCGACGCCGACGACGCTACAGACGCATCGGACGCTGCAGAGGCCTCGGACGCGACAAAAGTTTGCCAAGCCTCCGACGACGCCGTCGCCAAGGACGCGTCGGATGCTGAGCTAGCGGATGCAATGGACGCGGATGCCGACGATGCGACGGAGGCGGCAGAAGCTGAGCTGGCAGATGCGATAGACGCAGATTGTGAAGATGCAATGGACGCAGACGCAATCGAGGCCGAGCTGGCAGAACCGAGAGAAGCTGACGATGCAGAAGCAATGGAAGCCGAGGAAAACGATGCAAGCGACGCCGACGAAGCCGTTGCAGCAGACACAGTCGAGGCTGCGCGAGCAGAAATCGAAGAGGTCGAGGCCACTGCCCGAACATCCTCGAGAAGCTCGCGAGCGTAGAGGCCACCGACAAAGGCGCCTGCTCGGAAGTCCACATTGGCGCCTGATCCAACAACATAGTAATCTGAGGGCCAAAATTGCAGTCACAGTGAGTGAATATACAAACCGCAGGCACCCCCCCCCATTCGTAACAAACTACTTACCACCCAGCGGTAGACGACTCGCGGTGGTGTTGGCATAGAGGAAGAGCTTGTCAAAAATGGATGTAAACTGAGCAGTTGTGCCGGTTGCCGCAACAAAGCCCTGCTCGCCAACACGACCGTTGGCGCTGGTTGTGCTGTCAACCGGCAAACCATACGCGCCCATTTTGGGCGTGTAGAAGGTCTGTTCCGTCGTCATGACGGCATCCGCAAACAGTCCGAGCTTGAGCACGCGGTCGAACAGCAGATTGTACTTGAGAGACCAGGTGGTTGCAGCCTGGCAATGGCAATGCAACCAACCCCCTTCGTCAGTGAACACAACGACAGAATCCCCATTCAGCTCGAAAACGCAAAAACGAGGAGAAACTCACCGCGCCTTTCTCGCGCAGATAATGGTCCGTCGAAAAGGACTGCGCCAGAATCTGGCTGGCAAAGCTTGTGGCCGAGTTCATGTATTGGGCCGCAGCAGTGGTGTTGCCAGTCAGGCTGAGCAGCAGACTGTACGCGCCAACTCCTATCGCACCCTTCATGGCAAGGTTGACGTTGTTCGCAGACGCTGTTCCATACGAGTCCACAAAGAGCTGGCTCGTTGGGAAAGGCAGGCTGGCGACCAAGTAGTTTGCCCAGGTGGTCAGGAGCGGCCAGTACGGTTGCAGATAGGTCAGCGGAGCACCACGCTGGGCGGCAGCCGTGATCATGATCAGCATGTTGGCCGTGTGCTCGACTGGCATGTCGTAGGTTGTGGGAACCGCGGTAGTGCAGAGCGGCCACTGGCCAAGATGCGAAGGAGCCTGCAGAATATCGTGCAACCAACCATACATGCCAAGCTGAGCAAAGCTGCTGCAAGAAACACAAACTACAACTGCAGCTGCAACAGCAACACTTACCCAGCTACGCGTGTACGGGAACGAGGTCTCGCTGTTGGCGTACTTGAGCACAGGAAGCAGCATCTTTGGCACAAGCGAGGGATTCAGCAGCAAGTAGAACGGAGAGGCAAAGAACATGGTGGTCACCGCGTTGACCTGCCCGTTGACCGGACCATTGGTCGAGCTGGTGGCGAACGTTTTCATAAAGACGTAATGCTGTTGTGTGGTCGTGTCGATCGCATGCTCGGTCGATGCAGTGACTTGGCGATACACGAGCGACAGCAAGGTGGTGTAAGAGTTGGAGCCGCGCTTGTCGAACAGAGTCACAAGGGCAGTGTTGCGGGCGTTGATGGCACTCATGTAGGTGGCATAGTTGGTGTGCATCTGTGCAATCACCGTCAGGATCGTGCCAATCTTTGTCGACCAGAGCGGAGGGAGAACCTTGGAGAAAAAGTTCATCGTGTTGACATTGTCATAGGAAAGGGTCATAAATTTAGTGACACTTGTCGTGGAGGTCACACTCAGGCCGTTCCACCTCAGTGACAACACAGGCCAGTTATCGTTGCCATTTCGAGGACCAGTTTGCAAAGCTGGTGCAGCAGCACCACTGATAAATGCGTTTCTGCAGTTGGCATCGGAACTGACAGTGCCTACGAGGGCAGTTTCCTTGGGGGCAGCCATGTATGCATTACCCCAGTTGATACGGTCATTCGTGGAGCCGCTTAAAACTGTAATTTCGTTGAATGAGTGCAATACCGTTTTTGAATCAATGAAGCATCTCGACCAGAAATCTGACCTGACTGTACATTGGCGCCCATGCGGATAATTGTGTTGGCGCTGGTTGAAACATCGTTCCAATTAACTGACGTAGCAGGATCCGCTACAACAAGCTCGGCCGAGTGATCAATGTAGAGACTGACAGTGTGCGATGCGCCATCAAGGGACGAGAGCGCGAACGTGACATACGTCACTGGCACCGAGACCAAGGTATCGTCATCGAGTTGTGCTGGGTTTGAGAAAGTCAACACCATCTGGATGGCCGTTCCGAGCTTGAAGGTGTAAACGGTGCTCAGCGGCAAAATCTATTCGCCAGTGAAACAGATCGTTCCGTAAGTCGGGGTACTTTTGCCGATCGTGCAAGCTCAAAGGGCGCTAATCAAACAAACCTGGGTCGAAATGGGATCCACAATGATGCCTGTGCCACCGACAGACGGCACTCCCAGAAAGCGATAGTAGGTGCTATCGACTTTGGCGTAGCCAGTCATTGCTTGAACGCCGCCGTTTCTAGATGCATGCAAACAAACGGTGCAGGACGTGATTTGACTCGGTCAATGACAGGAGTACATTGAAAGCAGAGTCGGGGAGACGAATTAGGGGGAGGAGAAGCAGATATGAATGGCAAGCCTCGAAAATTGCCGATCCGGACAAGTAAACTGCAAGAGGCTCTGCCAACTGTTCATCCCTGCATGTTCGCAGCTCTCCAATACTAGCAATAAGATGACAAAGTGGAGGAAACAAGAAGAAGAAGAAGACGATAATGGAAGATAACGATAAAGAGAAAGATCAAGAAAAAGAAGGAACCAAAACACAAAAAACCACACGGCAGAACAGCTGCATCAACCATGAGCAAAACTTACGCGTGTTCGGTCCACGACCTGCCAGGAGCATCCGATAAAGACCAAATGGACCAGTACGGGTTGTTCGCAACGATGGGAAAGGCTGGCGGGCGGAAGTACGGAGAAAGAGCGGCAGAGGCGAGCGGCACACACACTGCGAGCAGTAAAGCAGATACAGCGACGAGCGCACGACAATGGCTCGACGACGCGGCGTGGACAACCATGGCTTTCGAGCTGTTGAAGGTTACGAGACAGTGATACGAGCGCCAAACGGAAGTGTGTGAGAGATAGAGAGAGAGAGACACACACACACAGAAGAGCGGGAGAATGAGTCAAGCGGCAAATAAAAAACGTGAACAACAACAAAACAACAACAACACCGTTGATAGGAAAAATAAAACGATTACAAAAACCCGCACTCGCTCACGCGCCCCCCCCCCGTCTCGCACTTCAACCCACGATGCACACACACACACACACACACACACACACGTAGCTAAAGCACACCATCAGTAACAGACAGATGAATAAAAAAAAACCCAAAATTACACTGCGCAATGGAATCAACAAGAACGAAATAAACAACAACAAACAACATCCAAAATAAACACAAACACCAAAAACAGAACTGATGGCTTTTGTTTTTTTGGCGGTTTTTATGAAATGAAATTTTGTTTTTCTCTTTTCTTTTTACCGAGCCGCAATGTGTTTGTGTTATTGTGGCTTGAAGGTTGGTGAATGCGCTCCAAGAGACACGAGGCCTGCAGCGGCTTGCGTGGGTCTGGCCACCTCAACGAGGAACGGGCGAACAGGAGAGTGGAGCATCAGCCAGAGAAAAAAAAACAGTGCGAACATTTGGGTGGGAAACGACAGTACTTAATATTCGCCGACGGGTTTACGTTGTTATGACGGACGTTGTTATCGCACGAGCCACCAGCCAATCTCCTTCAGCGCCGGGTCATAGGCCAATCAAATGGACTCATGGAGCAGATTGGCTGATGGAGCGACGCGGAGAGGCGAAATAAGATGAGGCGGGGTCATGCGAGTCATCATGCCACCAGTGCTCGTGTGGCTTGCGCAGCAGTTTGGCAGTTTGGTTGACTCAACCCCCCGTCCATTCCATCCCGGCGGTTTGTGTGTTGTTGGATGAACTACCTCATGTTGCTGTGTCAGAGAGGTTTTTTTGGTGATTAGTCGACGATGCCCGTCGGCTTACACAATTGATCTCGATTCGAAACGCACGCTTTTGTTGATGATTGTTGCATCCTGAATGAAACATCCACTTCTGCTTTGTACTGCATCAAGTTGCTGATTCACTTTATTGACAAAACATCAAAGCAAAAGACGTCTGCACACAGCTTTTTACAAGTGCAGCTCTAGCTTGGCCAGAGTCAAACCAATTTTGACTGGACCTGAGGAACTGATCAGTTGCATCCCAAAACCAAGTCGCGCACTGTGCAGCAAAACCCTCGAGCAATCCAGTTTGTTTGCCAGAATTAATTGGTTGAACAATCCAGTTTAGCTTGTACATGTATTCTGACGGCTCGAGCTTGGTTGAATCACCAGTCTTTGCTTGATATTTTGATGATTTGAGCGACGATGGTCAGTGCCATCCATCCATTGCGTTGAATTGGCTGGCCCTCGCTCCCCCAGACTCACATGCCTCGCTCTCGCTGCCATTTCACTCTGATCGCTAAACCCACAGGCAAACTTCCTGTCAGGCTTGCCATCGTTCGATCAGAGTGCCTTCTCGGACTACAATGCGCGCAACAAGGCGCACCATGCGACGCGGCCTGCCGTCTACACTGCCACGAGCGACCGCTCCCTCCCACCAGGGGACCAAGGTCTGCAGTCTGTTCTTGCTGTTATTGCTGGTGTCATTCAGAGTTGCCCTGCCTGCATGCTTGCATGGGCACTGCTGTGGCTAGAGTGTGCTGTCGCGCAAGAGAGTCTCACCCGCTTTCGACGACTCGACAGTCATCACGACAGACAAGACACATATACTGCTGCGATACATCAAACAGAATGACACAAAGGCAAGGGGACGGGGTGCCGTTGCTCTTTTGCGTTGTGCTGGACAAACACTTTTGGTGACAGACATTCTTACCGCCTTGCATTCGACGCAGGTCTCTGCAAACGCCGGGCCATCCCGAGAGCGAGCACGGCCAACACAACAGCCATCGAATGCATCTGAAACACAGCCAGCGGCGAACGCTTCAGCTGCAATGCAGACGAATTCGCTGCCAAACTCGAGGCATTCAAGCAACCCAGGCAGTCCCCAGCAGCCGGAGCCGTTCCAGCGTGCTTCCTTTTCATCCATGGCGGCTGGATTCTCGTCTGGCAGCACTGCACCCAACCTGTTCAATGCACGGTCGGGCGTGGCGGCCGCAGAACCCATGGATGCAACCAGCACCGCTCCTCTCGCGACTTCCGACAGCGATAAGGCTCGCGTGCAACGACCTCCAAAGCGTCGTGCCAGCCTGCCCTTGAACACAGACCTTAAGCGAACCCGTGTCGAGACGGATGAAGCCGACAGCAATAGCTCGGATGATTAAATCCGGGGTTTTTGTTTTTGCATCTATCTTTTTTTGTTGTTGTTGCTTTAATTATTGTGACAACCTTTTTTGTACAATTCCGAAACCCATCATCATTGAACAGAACTCAACCTCAAAATGGAAAGCGAGCCTATTCACTGCGGAGCAAAGCGGCACCAAGCGTGAGCTCTGTGGAGAATGCTTCGAGAGCGAGCGCCTGTTGCCGCAGCCATGCTTCCGTCACATTGGCAGCGGAGTGGGTGATACTGTTGCCGGTAAGGCGAAGCAAGAGCCCGGCGATTTTCAACTTCTCTTGATACACCTGGACTTGAGCAAACAGCTTTGCGCGCCGGCTGGGTCCGAGCGCCGAGTCGCTGCTGCTCAGGACTTCGAGGGCATCCGCGGCAGGCTGCTCCAGCCACCGAAGCAGACTCTCGTTTGCAGAGGTACTCTCAACGCGTTGTCGCAAAAACGTGGTCGACAAGTCAGCCAGATACACGTCAATGTCCGCAAATGGCAGCAACGAGGCGACTCGTCCCAAGTCGGTCGTGTTGAGCAACTGCGATGTGTTGAGGAGCGAGTTCAGCATGGACGATGTTGACTGATTGGGCTGGAAGGACGTGTCCAAAACGGATGTGTTGCTTGACGCTGGCTGGTTGAAGCGTAATAACGGAGGGACTCGCGGAGTTGTCGGATTGCCACCACGGGGCATTGTTGCCACAGCAGCAGCACTGGCGCGCAGTCCAGACGCTGGGGTTGCAGCACTGTTGCTGTTGTTGGCCAATAGTTTGACAGCCTTGGCGACTCGGTTTTGACGACTGGCATACTTGTCGACGCGGAGATTGAGGTCTTCGATCGAATCGACGAGATCCAATAGTACCTGCGAAGTATTTGCCGCGTGCGTGGGTTGTTGTTGTTGTTGTTGTTGTTGTTGTTGTTGTTGTTGTTGCTGTTGTTGTGGGTAGATGCGCTGTGAATTTGACGTCGCGTCCAACTCTTCTTGCTCGAGATCGAGCAGCTCGTCGTTGTCAGAAGTGTCCTCAACTTCGTCGTGTTGGAACAGATCTTGTTGTTGCAGGTCCTCCTCGTCCGTCTGGTCGTGCTCCTCCATCGTGCCCTGCAGCTGCTGCCAGAGCTGATTGAGCACTTCCTGCTGCTGAGCAATCGCCTCGAGTTGTGGTTGTAGTGTCTCGTTGCGCCTGCTGCTGGCAGGAACCGATAGCCTAGCACTCTTGGACCGCGACGACGACAATGGCGTCTGACCTGAGGCATGTGAAGATGATGCTCGAGCTGGACTCTTTCGTAGAGTCGCAGGCGTCTGGTGCGCGTGTCTTGCAGCAGATTTGGCTGAACTGGAATTGGGTGCCAAGCCAGCTTCCAAACCGTTGACTCGATTGGGATTTCGCGGCGTCTTTGGCAGACTGCTGCCGCTGATTCGATCTTGTTGGCGGTCCTGATGGTCGTGATGATGATCTCCATCGATCAGCGACTCGTCATCTGACGCGCGGTCGTCCTCCTCCTCAGAGACCCCGCGCTGCTGGCCGCCGCCGCCGCCGTACTGGCGATGCAAGTAGACAGACTGTGAAACAGCTGCGGCTGGTGCTCGTCCGGCGGCGGCGTGCTTCCGATGCGCGCTGTCATGCCTGCGCTGGGACTGGTGGTGCCCGTCGGCAGACTCGTTGGGATTGGCGACGCGACGGCCCGTGTGGGCGGCGTCGAGAAAGAGCGGTGCTCGGTAGCCGCGCGACGGATCAACGGTCGCCTCGTTCAGAAACTGCCGAATCACAGTCCGCCCAGCGTTGGCTGCATCCACCGCAGACGCCTCGTCGTGCATGCGAGTCAGCACGTAGGACAGATGGTGCTGCAGCAGCGAATTCTGGTTGGCAAGCTGGCCGAGCGATGATGATGCCGACGAGGCGGCAAAGCCAGATTGCATCGCGAGGGTGTTTCAAACGACTGGTAAGTTAGACTGACTGAATCACTGACACTGCAAATCATCAAACCTGAAGACAGAACGAAAGCAGCAGGTTGTACTCTGCGGTTGTTTTTGTTGTACATTTCACCGAGGGGGGGGGGCAACACACACACTCACACACCAACTATATTCCGAAAAACAAGCAATCTTTTTACTCGTCGTCTTCATCATCGTCGTCATCGTCCTCGTCCTCGTCATCGTCATCCGATTCTTCTTCGGCCTCAGCGAGCCAGGTAATGAGGCGTTGGAGCTGGTGAAACAAAAGCGCGGAAGCACGACCTCAGCGCAAGTGAGAAACAAACGAAAATGTACTTCTTGTGCACCTTTTACGAAACATTCCACAGTCACTTACCGATGCTCGGAGCTTGGCGCGAATTTCGTTGGGTTCATCTGCATTTTGCTTAAACCAAGTCTGGATGGCTCGCTCGCCAAGGACATCAAAGTCGTACAGCTTGTGCACAAGGTTCAAGAACGATCCGCGGGCTGCCTCGGCCTCTGGCTCCGCGAGAACGTTCTGATTGGCGGTGTGGTGGGTATTGTGGTGTTCAACAAACGGTCAGTCCAAACATTACACACGCCCCTCAACCAATCAGACAGAAAAACCCAAAACCAAAACCAACAACAAAAAACAAGTAAAACACAAAACACAAACACAATTTCCTCATACCGCGATGGCAGTGATGGAACTGAGCTGGTCCGCCTGTTGGCCGGACACGTAACGCTTGAGCAGACTCAGGACAACGGGGTTCTTGCGAGTGCACAGGGTCTTGAGTGCCGTGTGAGGCGCGGTCGGATTGACCTCCAAGAGCACCTCCATCACAACCTGCACAATCAGACCTGCCAAATCACGCGCCTCAATGTTGTAGGCGTGCTTGGAGCCGTTGATTTCGACCACAATGTTTTCGACGTCGACATTGCGCTCGCCCAGAGCGACGGATTGAATGCTCTCGCGAATTTCGTGCATAAAAATGTCCTCTGATACGTACCAACCAGGACAGCAAGAACTGAACTGAGCAAAAAAAAAAGGCAACTTGCAGGAACAAGTCAAAGCAACACATTTTCGGCAGAAATCCATACCGGGGGCTTCCATGTGCATTTCAGTGTCGTCTCCAAACAAGGAATCATCGCTGTCCTCGACATCTGCGTCCTCGACATGGACAATATCAACTCCTGGGAATGGCGAGCAGTACGAAATGTTGAGTGCACGACAAGTAAAGTGGTCAAAACACCAACCCCCCTCGCCCGCCCAACAACGAGGAAGGCATACCCCATTTCAAGTGCTCCAGCTCATCCTCTGCAAAGTCTTCAGGAACGACAACAAAGTTGTGTCCCGCTCCTGCCGTGCCAACCACCTTGGAGTCAAAGACGGTGTCTGGATTTTCAAAAGGGAATGTGAGCCACACTTCTTCAAACTTCCAATCTTTGCTGGAAACCACTTCATACCCGAGTCTGGTAGGTTGCCATCCTCATCGAGCATGGTCAGCTTCGAATGTGCTGGAATCACAACATCAGGGCCAACAACGACCTAAACATTTGGCAGACAGCGCGGAGTGAGCGAGCAGCAACAACAGAATGGAGGCAGGCCAGCTGCACAAGCAACAACTCACGTTGAACGAAATAATCGAACCGCTCTCAACGGCGACATTGCGCAGAATCTTGGCCTTGTTGCACAAGACAGCGTTCTTAATCGTGCAGCCGTCTTCGATTTCGACATTATCCCAGATATAGGAGTTTTCGATCGTGACGCCAGCGCCTGCATTGTGATGGTGGAAATGGTCAAAGGGCAAGAAATTAAGAGAGCGGTCAGTGAAACACTATCACAAACGCAAGCCAAGGACAAAAAAATTCAACAGACTGAATTGTCGTACCGATCACACAGTTGCGTCCGATCGTGGAGCACGTAATTTGGGAGTTCTCGCCAACCTTGGTACCTTTGCCAATAACGACATCTTCAACAACGTTGCAAGAGCTGCACAGGAAGCGGGCAAGGAGCAAAGAAGATTGGAGGACCAAAAAAAAAAAAAAAAAAAAAAAAAAAACAAGGATGAGACCAACGTCAAGTTGCACGCTTCAAAAGCCACAACATTGCCGCCCAATCGTACCGAGACAGGAGAACTCGCTCGTCTTGGTAAATGTTGTTGCGACCGTACTTGTACGCTTCGCCAGGCTCTGAGCTATAGTCCGGGACCATGGGGAAGGTCCATCGGTGGATGACGTCCTTGCTGACCGCATTGTATGCTCGCAAGTTGTCCACGCGAGCTGCGTACTCGTTGTTGAGCTCGTGAATGAAAATCTTGTTGCCGAGAATCTCCTCCTCATCGAGAATGCCATGGACGAGGTCGTAAATGTCTTGGTAATCAAAGTTGTCGGTGAAAAGCACCGGGACCTGCGCGAGAGAGGTTGCGCGAGAGAGAGGTTGAGCAAGCAATGTGCCAGCGAAGGTCAAGCCGCCGCCCCCTTGTCCCCAACCCTCCAAAAACAAAAAAAAACCCCAACAAACTAGTCTCCTACCACTGCCGAGCAAATGTTGATGTGGCAGTCGTAGAGATCGTAGCGAACTTGCACGGCAGCATGTTCCTTAAACACAGAGACGGGGAGCACAAACTTTGTGGCGTTAGGGCTGCGCTGCTGGCGGAAGGCGAGCAGGCGTTGAGAGTTGGACTCGACCGCCACAACAGAGTCGCGCTCCAGCGAGCGTGTTCGGTGAGCGGGCGATGCGGTTTTCATGACCATCGTCATGATGGCGCCCTTGTCCTTTTCTCGTCGCAACCTGCGAAATGCATACGTGGGAATGGAAGGAGAGTTCGTGATGAGACGTTTCAGAACTGCACAGAGAGCGAGAGAGAGAGAGATGGTCTAGCTGTCCCAAGCAAAAGTAACGCCGTACCGATGCGTGGCAAGAACTGGAGCAAGTTTCATGTTTGAAATGAGGTCGCCAGACACAAGGATAAAGTCAGAACGGATGATGGCGAGCTGGTCAATGTTGCGCAGCGCATCGCCGACGCTCAAGCACTCTGGCTGAACAATGCACGTAATGGTCACGCCCTGTCGACGCACCCACTGCGATCCTCTGCAAGTCGAACATGGCACACAAAAGTATACAAGCATGACAGTGAGCGGTTTTTTGGACTCGCAGTGGCGCTGATGCAATTGCAGTGCAATCCACTTACTCGATGTACTGCTTGATGAGGTCTGCGTGCGAGCAGCAAATCACGAAAATCTCTTGCACGTTCGCAGAGATGAGGAACTCGAGTGTGTAATCGATCAGTGGCGCGTTGCACAGCGGCAGCAGTGTCTGTTTGGGGGGGGGGGCAAGCACAGGGGCGAGTAAGCGACAAAGACAAAGCTGCGTCGCACTCCAAAACTCCAGAACGAGCTCGTTCGTGGCTTTTGCAGGGATGCAACGTGACTGCTTTGGCAACGCCAGCAGCGAACGAAGAGGGAAGCGGTGGGGGGGGGGGAATGCAACAGGCGAGATCTCTGCGAACAAAGCGCATGTGCTCGAACGTCCGAGCGCTTCAGCGAACGGGAACGACCGCCGAGTTTGTTTTGTTTTCCACTTGACGCACTAGAATGGAGTCGTCCATCTCGTGTTGGAAGCCGAGGCCGGGGGCGGGGGAGAAAGAGAAAGAGAAAGCGAGAGAGAGAGAGAACGAGGTGATTCTGCTTACGCGAGGCTGCTCCATTGTGATTGGGGTAAAGCGCGAGTTGAACGAGTCGCCAATGACCACTGCCTGGAGCACGTCCTCGGCATCCCAGTTGCCAGCACCGCCGCCGCCAGACGACGCGCCAGACGCCGGGGTGGTCGGGGTTGCGGCTCCGCTGGTGCCACCGCGGCGCTTGCCGCCCTGTTGTTGCTGTTGCTGCTGCTGAGCTTGTTTGCCTCCTCCCTGCTTGCCACTCATGGTCAGAAGACTATGGAGAGAAATAGAAAAAAAAAATAAAAAATAAAAAAATGAGGAATGAATGAATGAAGGAATGAATGAGAGGGTTTCTACGATTGCAATAAGGGGATTATTGGGACAGTATTGTATGAACAAATGGACAAATGGAACAAAGCCGTCACATCCAACAGGGAAACCAAATGCAATAACGCAACTCAAAAGTGTTGGAGACATGCAAGCCACCTCAAACACTTTGGGAAGGCGGCAACAGGCTAATCTTGCGTTGAAAACTGGCAATTCACTCGACGGTGTCTTTCAAAGGTTATGAAGAAGAAGAAGAAGAAGCTTGCCGCTCATCAGAAGGGGCCGGCGGTGGTGGTGTGGAGGCGGGCGGAGAGTCTCGGTTGCTGCGAGATCGCTCGGCGCGTCGTTTTTGCTTTTGCGCTTGAGCGGCGGCCATCTCATCGTGCATCGACTTTTGAGCATCGTCGGTCAGCTGTTTGCATGCGCCCAGGTAGCAAGCCAGCTCGCGCACGATGCGCTCGAGTTGCGCAGTGAGCGCGGGGACGACTGTTTCCTGAATCGACGCGAGTCTGGAGGCCAGTTCACTGGACGCGGCACGGTAGTCGGTGCGCGACGAAGCGAGTCGGACAAACAAATCGCGCCCTCGAATGTTGCCATCGCGCGTTCGTTCGAGGGGTCCTCCGCGTCCTCGAATGGCGTGTTGCTCTTCTGTATCGAGCGTTTTCAGCTCGGCTGCGACTTGCGCACCCTCGACACAGACAGCCTCGACGCGCTTGACAAGCCTTCGCACGTCCGTCACGGTGCGCAAAAAGCTCCCGGCCAGCTCTTTAAAGATGGGCTCCATCGTGACGACAAATTGCGTCACCTCGGCTTGCAGGCCGAGCAAGGTCGACGCCATGGATTGCATGGCCAGCGTGAGGACGGGGTCTGGCTCGTTTCGCGTGGCCACATCCGAAAAGAACTGGGCTAGTTTCCGTTGAGCCTCGGACAACGCCTTGAGGCTTGCAATGTACTTGGCAGTCTTGTCCCGCGATCCATCAAGATGCACGGCGCTTTGTTCAAACGCCTCAATCTGCGCACGCAGCGGAGGTGCCAGTTGCAGTTCTGCCACAGCATCATCCAGCAGGTCGAACAAGTTGGCGGAGGCCGCGTCGGCAGAAGGCGCGCCAGTCCCAGCAGCAGGCGTGGCGGGCGATGCCGCACTGGCCTTGGAAGAGAAGAACTTGAGAGACAAGGACTGCTTGAATTGCTTGAATTTGACGTCGAATTGCGTCGGGCGGAGGTTTGGAGGGTAGTCCAGAACAAACGGGACGAACGTCACGTCCACCGATTCCAATGTTCCACCGAGCATTTCAAGCACAGCGTCGACAGTCTGGCCAGCCAGAGCCGTGGCGCCAAGGGCAACGAGCTCATCGCCGATGGCCAGTGCAGGGTTTGCGCGTGCTGCCGGCGAGCCAGGCACGATGCTGGTGATGTACACGATGGGACACAACGGCGCTCCGCCTCCCAAGTACAAGCCGAACGATGCTTGGGACGGCAGCACAGCACTGCGGTCGGTCAAAGGCTGGTCGCGGGCCAAATGGGTCTGCTGAGCTTCTGCTTTTGGCCGGCCTTTGCGAGAAGGCGAGTTAATAGCAAGAGCAACAGGAGCAGCAGCAGAAGAAGAAGAAGGAGAAGAAGAAGAAGACGCAGAAGAAGAGGTATGGGGAGCCGCTGGCGAAGAGGCAGCCGAATCCGCTATTGTTGGGGCGGAAAGTCCGGGATTTGCAGACCCACTTGTTGCAGCATTGCCTGGGTCGGCTACCACTCCTGGGAGAGGCGGTTGGCCGACAAGCGTCGTGATCTGAGCCGTCGAGTCCGCGTCCAACGACACTGCCGAATCACTCGTCTGGAATAACGAGCGTCGAGCGCTGGATTGCGTGGTTGCGTTCGGAACGGCAGCCAGGTCGACTGGTACCGGTGGTGATGCTAGGGATTGCGTGGAGGCGGCGGCGGCAGTAGCAGCAGCAGCAGAAGATGGCGACGCACTCGATGCCACACCTTCCGCGTTTTTTCCCGACCGGAAGAACCCCAAGATACGGGAGGACTTGGTGGTCGGGGTAGTCTTGACGGGGGTGGCGGAAGGCGAGGATGTCAACGTCGGAGGGGCGGGACGCGCGGCGGCAGACGAGGAGGAGGAAGCGGCAGTGGCAGTGATTTGGTCGGACGTGGTCAACGCTCGCTGTGTCCCCGTCAAGTCCTCGACATTGTCTGGGTCAATCTCATAGGAAGAAGCGGACGTATGCGTCGACGGTGTAGCGCTTGTACCCCTTGACAGCTCGTTGACTGAGCCGTGGTGGCTGGGCAATGCAGAGAGCGTGACAAAATCCGTGTCAGCCGCACTGCTCACATCACTCGCACTCACGAGTGAGCTGCCTTCGCCGCTGACGTGCGTGAACGACGTGCGATCAAAGTCCGAGCCGCCATAGCTGACCGTTGCCGACGGCGGACCGGTCGAGCCCAGCGATGCCACCTCGGCGGGGATGAGCATGTCTTCCGGCAGCGCCGACATGGCGACAGCGCCCTTTTCGGTGCCCGCATGTCCTGACGCCAGGCCCGCGGCGACTGCAGCAGAGGTGGTTGACGCGCCCGACGGCGTCCTGCGGTGGAAGACGGACTTGAGGTTGGTGAACATCGCCGAGGAAGTCGGCTGCGGTGAACCCGGCTGCGACGCCATGGGGCTCGGCGGAATGCTGCCGTGGGCATCAGCAACGCCCGGCGCAGACGCCAGCGCCGTGGGAGCAGCCGAAGGGGATGCCGGGACGACGACCACGGCTGCAGGCGTCTGAGCCTTTCGCATGAACGCGGCCAAGCGAGAGGACACGCCGCCGCTGGTCGTCTTGTTCAGTGGTGGGTGGGCCTTGCTCGGCGAAGACGCACTACTGGCAGCAGCAGCAGCTGGGTCGGCGGCGGCGTCGTCATCATCATGCTCGTCGCGCAGGTCGATTTCCTCTACGTCCTCCTCGTCCATGGCCAGGTCGCCGTCTACCGTCATCATCCGGTCCTCGAGAATCGGGTCGCCACTACCAGCACCAGTGTTACTACTCTGTCGCTGCTGCGGCGTCTGAGCGGAGGCAGAACGCAAGTCCCAGTCGCTCATTCACAGTGGCAAAGAGAAAGATGGAAAAAAAAAAAAAAAAAAAAAACTGGCTTTGGAGAGCTTTGGTTGAGATTCTGAGAACGTCGTCTCAGCAAGAGGAAGCCGGGTTGGGTGGGGAAGGATCCGAAACGAGCATGAAATCGGATCCTGCTGCTACAGACAGATCATCACGCTCAGAGATGTTTGCTCCACTTGGTTCATCATGGTTCTTCACTTGGTTCTCTTCGCCCTTCGCCCTTCCTTGTCTCGAATCGATCGCCATGTTTTTATTTTAATTTTTGTTTCGCTCATTCTTTGCTCTTTCGTTCTTCATCAAGACCTTAGCTTTCAGCTTCTTATTTTGTTTCTGCATCTCAGTCTCTTCATCTTTCAATTTCTCTCTTGTTTTCCAATCTCTCTCTCTCTCTCTCTGTCTCTCTCTCTCTCTCGCGCGCGCGTCAGTCTTTCTCGATCTCCCTCTCCCGCGTTCTCTTTGCGCTCGCTCCAGGCCACAACCATGTCTGACGCGGTCGACGGCTCGCATGGACCCCTCTCGAGTCCCGAACGTCGTTCCGCGGCTGGTTCTGCTTCGTCCGACGGGCAATCGTCGCATCCAAACCACAGTCCCGGCCAGCCACCGCCCGCAGGCAGCAGCCACAGCAGCCCCAGCAGTGCCGGTGGGCACAATCCCGTCCCACCCGCGCGCCCCGTCGCTCTGGTGCCGGTCGCTGCTTCTGCAGGGACTCCGATGACTGGTCCTTCCTCCTCCTCGTCCTCCTCTTCGTCCTCGTCCTCGTCCTCCTCCACGACCCCGCACCAGCACCCTCACAGCCATCACCAGCACCATCACCCTCAGCACCCCATCCATCCGGCTCCTCCGCTCCCGCCATCCCCAGCAACCCAGCAGCAGCAGGTGAGGCTCATTTTCCAATCTGTTTCTTTCTTGTTTGTTGTCGATTTTTTTTTTTTTTTTTTTTTGTTTTTGTTTTTGTTTTTTGTTTCAGTTCTATGGCGTTTGTCCATTGCGTTTTTCGACGCGCCAAATGAGACACGCTGCGAATCGGATCAAACCAATGGCAGTCCACGAACAAGATGACCTCCACACCCATATTGGCGTGATGCTGTCGAGGTGCTTGGACGATGAGTGGGGGAGGTTGTTGGCTCAAATCAGTCTGTGGTCTGTGGTCTGAGCGTGTTTTCAGCGAACGCACATCAGCTCTGCCATGCTTCATCAGGCACTTTGGCTTGCAGCCGCAGCCTCGGCCAACATTGTGATACAAGGTCGAATGCTAAATACTAACTGTCTGCTTTCATGTCCCCTCCATTTTTCCACCACCAAAAAAATAATCCACACAGACTTGTTCCACCGACTCGCAGGCCAAATCGGTCGCCGCAGCAATCATTCTGCCAGGAACGGCGGTCGCTGCACCTCCGCAGGACGTGCAACGCAAGATATTTCGTCGGGCCCGCTCGCGATCGGACGGTATGGCGGCCTTTCTGCTCGGCCTCGAGCGCAGCAGCTCGTTCAACGCTTCGTCCGAGACCCTCGATCAAGGGCCAGCCCCCGAAGCCCTGGTCGAAATGGAGGGCAGTAGTATACCCCATGGCCGTGCGACGGAACCTGCATTACCTGCTTCGCTGAGCGAGGCTGTAGCAGAGCTGACACACCCCGCAACCACCCTGGTCCCTGAAGGCGACCAAACTCTGCCTCCTCCTCTTCCTCCTGCTGCTGCTGCTGCTGCTGGAGCTCCACCCAAGCCCCCCAAACGACGCCATCACGCTTCATCCGCGAGTCAGGCGACGAGCGAATTCACCCCCTCGCCGGCGAGGGTGCGGAGCGTGTCGTCTGCCGGCACGTCGACCTCGTCGTCATCACGCAAGCGAGGCTTCCACGTTTTTTCGGTCGTGTACCTCGGTGCATCCATCTCGTTGCTGCAAGACGGCGAAGGCACCCCGAAGGCGATTGAAAACGTCACCAAGCAAGCGCGAGGCCACCAGCCTGCCAAGGTCTTTTTGAGTGTCGAAGGCCTGAAGATAATCAGCGAGCAGACGCTGGTTCCGATCGTCGATCTTCCGCTGAATTGCATTGCGTCGTGTGTTTCTTCGACGGATAAGTCGACTTTGGTCTTCATCACAACCCCGCAGCGATCAGCTCACGTCAGTACTGGCTCCTCTCCGTCTGCATCGCCCGTTAGTGCGCCAGTCACCCCGAAGAACGAACGCATCTTCCACGTGATGCAAGCGCGGCACGACGGACACTCTGTGACTGCCATCGCCGCAGCTGCAGCGCAAATCTTTCACACGGCGTATGAACAGGCCAAGAAGGCTGCCGTTGTTCGAACGCCATCACAGGCCTCCTCGCAGTCCTTGTCGTTGGCGCCGAATGCGGCAGCTCCATCTTCGTCCCGAACCCCTTCTAATTCGTCTTCCAATCGAAACAGTATGATTTCCAGCGACTCAACCTCGCCATCATCTAATTCTCTCGCTTCAATGGCACCGAATGAAGGCTCTGAACCAACGGCTGCCTCGGCTGCTTCTGTGGCACCTGCCGAGCCGAGCAACATTACGCAAAACTCCTTGCTGGGGCTGCCCACCCTCAGCCGACGGCGCTCGCGCTCTGCGCCGTTCGTGCCGAATCCGCGCGATTTGCTGCCCGATTCTCCCCAGCGCGGCCAGTCACCCTTCCAGAGTCCTTACCGGTCGCGCACGTCCAGCAGCGCCAACATGTCCTCGGCGGCTCCTGGCGCCATCAGTACTCCTGGATCACAACCTTCCGCAGCAGCGGCGACCGCGCCAGCGGCCAGCGGCTGGCGCGGGTTTCTTTCTAGCCGTAGCACCACTGGCAGTGGAACGAGCTCTCGCTCGGGGACGGCAGGCAACTTGCTGGCGCCTTCTCTCGTCGGGGAAGACGATCCACTGCAGTACGTCGAGGGGCTGCGACAGCACGTTTCGCACCTCTCTGACATTGATGCGTACCAGGTTCTGACGCGCGAGCTTGAGTTTGTCACCGATTCCGAGCGGCAGACGAACGAACGCGAGCTGTTGCAGCACGAGAAGACCGTTTCGACACTCCACGAGCGCAATGAGACCATGATGGCAGTGATTGAATCCATGCACCGCGAGCGACAACGCCGTCGTGAGTTTGCCAAGCGGTTGAACGCTTCTTCCAGTGGTATCTCGGACGAGGTATGGTCTATTTGTTGCAGCGTTCTTGTCATTTGGTTTTGGGTTTTTTTTTTGTTTGTTTTTGTTGTCGCATTGTGCGAATTCGCCCTCACCTCGTATGTGTGTGTGTTTTGCTGGTGTTTTTTTTTGCTTTTTGTTGTTTCTCCCTTTCAACCTGCCAATTCTCTTGGTGAACTGATGGTCCAGAGCAAAGCCAAAGACGCCAAAGCTTCCGCCGCGCAGAGCAAGCCGATTGCCGCGACAGCATCGCAGCCCTTCTTTAGCACCTTCACCAAAACACTCACCAGCTCGTTCAACTCTTTTCTGAGCAAACGCGCTGCTTCAGAGTCGGAGGCGCAAGTGACGCCAGAGTCCGAAGGCCACTTGCGCACAAACGCTAGCGCACCCGCTGTCGCTGAACTTGCCCTTCCCAGCGCAGATGCAGGGCCCGTCAGCCCCACTGCAAGCGAACCTTCTCGCCTGTCCTTTTTCTCGCGGCTTGGTCGCCCTGCCGTTGTTCCGGCAAGTACGGACGCAACGCCGCCGACATCGTCGTCCAACTTGGCAAACTCGACTTCGAACACGTCTATTTCGACTTCTTCGTCTCAGGCAAAGACCGCCGAGCACCCCATCCCTCCTCCGCTCAAGCTCCTTCCAGTAACCGACACGACGCCGGCTCCCGGCTCTCCGAGTGCTCGCAACCACTGGCGAAAGGCCATTTTCAAAAGCGTCTTGCTCGCTCATCTCGACAAGGACTATGAGCGTGTTCGATCTGCAACGCACGATGCAGATGCGTCATCGATTGATTCAAGATCACTTGCCGGCGATCAGGATCCAGAGACGGTATCACTGACACCTGCGTTCACAGCGCAGGATGCAACAGATGGGCAGGCCGAGTCGGATCAAGGCGGAGGCGTGAGCGCAGCAAACCTGGATGCCAGTGTCGCTGGTGAAGACGGTGCTTTGGAAAGCTCTGATTCCGTGAGCGATTTGCCCCGTCTTGTTGGGCCATCCGCGACCGCCGCGTCTGAGGGACCGCGAGGGCTTGCCACGCCCAAGCGTCGCGCAGAGCGTTTGCTGCAGTGGCAACGATCCAGCTCGGTGGACCTCAGCGAGTCGCTGATGAGTGCAGCAGATCGCGCGGTGCTTGAAGCAGCCAGGCGAGACCAGGCTCTCGAAGAGGCTTGGCTCCAAACCCTCGCCGAACTGGACGGGGTCAATCAACCCGCCTCAGATGAGGGTGTCGCTGCTGCTGCTGCTGGTGGTGGTGGTGGTGGTGGTGGTGGTGGCGCTCTGTCATCGTCGCCTACCTCCACAGCCGCGCCTGCAACCGAGCTCGACGAAAACGCTGATGCTGCAGCAGTCGATTCTGCTCAAGCTGCCAGTGACGAGCCGCCCGTCTCAAAGCCAACCCCTCTGCCCTTGTTTGTCATGCCACCTCAAGTTGTGGAAGACACAACTAATCCTCACAGCCACACCCATGTGTTTTCGTCGCCATTCTCGGCAGCAGCGACCGCGGTTCCAGCACAGCCATCGCCACGCTCGCCTGTGGTCCCAGCCATGGTTCTTCCACTTTCGCCAACTGCAACATCCATCCCAGTCCCAGCAAACGGCGACAGCCCTTCCGACGCATCTCCGCAAATTGCGTACGCTCATTTGCACGAGCTCATGGGCAAGGGAATTCCAAAGCACTTGCGAGGCCGCGTGTGGCTTGCCACCGCTCGACGTGGATGTGCGTTGGCCAACTTTCCCGTTTGCACGCGCGAGCAGTATCTGCAGCTGGTCGACCAAGAGACGCCGCACGAGCGCCAAATTTTGGTTGACATTGGACGTACATTCCCGTCACACCCATTCTTCCGCGACCCTGAGGGCAATGGCCAGCAGGCGCTGCTCAACATGATGAAGGCGTATTCCATTCACGATCCGCAGCTCGGCTACTGCCAAGGCCTCACTTTCGTGGCCGGCTGCTTCTTGCTCAACTTGAACAACGAGTATGACGCGTTCATTGTGCTTCTGTACGTTATGCGCGTGCTTGGAGTGCGTGTCATGTACATGCCGGATATGGAGGCGCTGCAGTTGTCGCTCTACCAGCTCTCGCGCCTCATGTACGACTTTCGCCCGCATCTCTTCAACCACCTCGAGACTCGGGAAGTCAAGCCGTTCTTGTACGCCACGAGCTGGTTCTTGACCATCTTTTCCTCTCAGTTCCCGTTGATGTTCTCGTATCGCGTGATTGACATGCTTCTCCTGGATGGCACCCTGGTCATGTTCCGTGTGACGCTGCAGCTGATGCTTGAAGCCGAAAAGAAGGTCCTTCGAATGGAATCGTTTGAAGAGATTGTTGAACATCTCAAAACGGCTGTTCCAGACTTGACACTGCAGCAAATCAGTGAGACGGTAAGTGTCCCGGCCCTCGTTGAATCTTTTAAACCTTCACTTGTGAGTTTGAGTCGACAATCGTTGATTCTGCGGGTGTTCTGACTGGGTGATGTTTTCGATTGGGTCGATTGGTTGATTTTTTTTTTGTTTTTAGATTCTCCGAGCGGTAGCCAACCGTGCCGTGACGCAGGAACGCCTGTTTGCATTTGAGAGCGAGTACTACATCATGAAGGATGCGCTCGAGACGCAAGAGGGCGCTACGGCCGAGCGCAACGACTGGATCAAGGAAAAGCAACAAATGGATGAGCTGGTAGCTCGACTGCAACACAAGTACGTTGGTCATTGCGCACACGACGGCTGGGAAGAATGGTGGTGGCTTTGCTGAGCTCTAACGTGTTGGTTATTTGTCCCTTCCCTTCCCCCCCCCCACCGGCCTCCTCCTCGCCCCCTCTTTTTGGCCTTTTTTGCTCGGCGTACAGGAATGCTACACTCGTTCTGCAAAACGACAACCTGGAAAAGGAAATGCAAACGGTTCGGGAAGCTGTCATTCTGGACTATCAACGTCTGCTTCAGACTATGAAAGTCGAAAAGTACGCTCTCGAGGAGACTGTCACGAAGGTACTGACATAATTCTGCAAAGGAAGACCTGTCGCTTTGCGCTGGCTCGTTTCCGCAGCCTCATTCATTCGTGGTTATCCCATTGTGTCCGATTTTAGGTTTGCTCGGAGAAGGCCGACATTGAGGAGCGGTTGCGAGAAATTGAGGGTCAGCTGATTGCGGCAAAGATTGCTCTAGCGCAGGCGGACGCCGAAAAGCACGAGCTTTTGCGCAGAGTGCGCCATTTGAGCCTCTCGGTGGCGTCGGTATCCGGTGAAGACAGCGCTGTGAGCTCTCCTTCCTCCGACAAGACTTCGTTTGTGTAGAGTCGCCTTTCCTGGGCTCTGTCTATCTATCTTTCGATTGTTGACTGCTTTGCTCGGTTTGACACGAAGAGCAGCCCACATCAACACTTTGTGAATTGTACTATTCAGATGAAAGAGAAAATTACAGAATACACACACTCTCTACAGCACACAAAGCTCAACAAAGCAAGACTCGGAGCAGCAGACCGTGTGTGGTTGGTTTTAACGGGGGGGGGCGGAAACCACAAGGCCACTTGACTGCGCTACTGGGCAACAGGGGTCGGCGCACCCGACTGCTGGGGAAGCGCGGCTGCCACAGCTTCTGGGTAGTCTGCGCGAAGAGATTCGAGAGCCGTGGCAAATCCGTTGTTTAGTGCATCCAACATGTCAGATATTGCCAAATGCATCACGTCTTGGCGCTCGCGGTCCATGCTGTCCGTCTTGGCAAGCGTTGCGTTTCGAAGATGCTCGTAGTTTTTAGAGGAGTGGGTCACCTGCTGCATTGCCTCGACGTATTTGGCCTGCAGCTGGTGTCGTTGCAAAGCCTGCTGCTGGGCTCGAAGCTTGTTTGGCGCGGCGTGCCGTGACGGCGAGGCTGTGCCGTCGGGATGACTGCTTGATCTGGACACGGCAACCTCGATGACTTCTGCCGCGTCCGGGTCCTCCACGCGCATCTGCTCTTCCAGTTCGCGGCAATGCAAGCGATAAGCGTCGTATGTCACGCGTTCGGCCGTAAGCTGCTTGAGCGCTGTGTGGACACCCGGGACAACATTGTCGCGGAAGGTGCGATGTCGCTCGTTGATTCGCAGTGCTGCAGGAGCCACCGAGCTCGAAAAGGACGCGTTGGCGGTGTGCAATGCGTGCCCGGCCTTGGCCAAGTCGGAGCCCACGGTCGGATCAAACTTTTCGGTTTTGCTTTGCAAGTACAGGCTCAAGTCCTCTTGAGCAGCCGCGACATTGGTCAGCGCGCGCTGGAGATGCTCGTGGTAGTCGGCAAAGTCGACAAACATGGACTGCACGTATTCAAACAGTGCGGTGCGGTCGTTGACACGTTTATCCTCGGTCACAACGCCATGACTCTCTGAGGTGAATACTTCGCGAACCTGATCGAGCAGAGAATACACAGAGTCAGGGGGAATGAAGTGAGCGCAGAGACGGGGGAAACAAGGCAAGAGGGAAAAAATGGGGGGGGGTACAGCTCATACAAACAGTGCCAATCACTCAACCAGCCCTCTTCCATGTTCTCAGCGCAGTGGTGTCACTTGCTTGAGACTGCCCTGTCCGCAAGCAACCTCAAATTGTACCTTCTGCTTGGTGAGAATCAGCTGGCGCTCTGCCTTGGCGCGGAAGGACGTGGACTTGGCGGCAGGGCTCGGCGACCCCGTTGTTGGCCCTGGCGATGACGGACGCGACGATGTGGGCGACGTTGTGGTTGACGTAGCAGCAGAATGGGAGGGCGAGCCAGACGCAGAGTACGTGAAGGCGAGCTTGGCGTGCGGTGCGACCAGCGCTTGTGTTCCACCCGAGGACGACGACGACGACGACGACGACAACGACAACGACGACACCAACGAGGCTGCTTGCTTGTCAGTCGCCACAGCACTCGTGAAGGCGATTGGGACTGGAGCGACGAGCGGCGACGCAGTGGTGGCGCGCAAAGCAGCAACGGCGGGAGACGCGGACGCCTGGCTGTTCGGGTTGGAGTGCAACGATGATGCAGTAGCATCTGTGCTAGTGCTCGTGCTGGCGTTGTTGGGCTCGGCACCGGCAGCAGCGCCTTCGTCGAGATGGGGAAACTCGGCGGCAATGGCTTGCTGCAATTCGCTCTCCACAGCAGGAGCAAACACGCCCGGTGCCGCAGCAGACTTTTTCTTCTGATCAACACCTGGTGCTGCTGCCGGCGAGACTGCGGGTGCGGTGGGGGACGAGGACGAGGGCGAGGCGTCGTCGACCATGACCAGGTCGTCCGACTCAGGCGACTCAGACATGGTTTGGATTGGGGAAAATGGGGGACTGGAAGCAAACATCAATAAAGTAACAGGAGGTGGAAAAAAGTCACGACTTGAATTGAAGCACGATTTGTCGCCGAGTACTGGAGTGGTTTAAAGCACGTTCAGTACTGGACCAAGCAATCCGAGACACTTTCACTGAAGAGCAGAGTATGAGTTCTACAGTATGAGCACAAAGAGCACAATGCAATTGTTTGTTTTGGTGCATTTTCTCTCCGATGTCTGACGACCCTGACGGTGGCGCTATCTCGTCATAATTGTGTCTTCAAGATCAACAAGGCACCAGAAGAGCTCGGGATGGCTGTCGTCGTGTATCAACGCCGACCCTCATGGCAAGAGCCATACCGCATAACTGATCAGCGAAATCGACATGTTCATATACCAGAACTGAGCTGTAACTTCTTAGTTTGAGGGCCACTGCATCGCCTGCGGATGATTAGCAAGTGTTCATTCTGAACATTGGCATTGGAACACGAAAATGAACGAGGAACACGAATTTCACAAGTCAACATTTATTTATCATTATGGGGGAGGGGCGAGCAAGGATTTGGTTTCGAGGGAAGGATGTGCAACAGTTGGTACAAGTCACTGCTTGATCACACACACACAAGGCAGGACGCGAACAAAAAAAATCAAGACAAAAGCAAACACAAAAACACCAATCAACCATTCACAGACTACTTTTCAGCAAACTTCACGCGCGAGTGGCCAATCGTGAAGGAGTCAACGTTCCACTTTCGTGACGTGCCCGTGCCGGAGACTCCACGGATGACGATACAAAGTGGGTTTTGTTGGCAGTGGGCGAGTCAAAGCTCGAATTGGAGTCTAGGTTTTCGTCGCTGTTCCGCGCATCCATATTTGCATTGGCAAACTTGCGTTGAAGGGCCTGAAAAATTGCAAAGAAAGGATCAGCAACAACAAGTCAGCGCGCAGAAGCACAAATGTCTCCAGTGCTGCAATTCGACTGATCTGCTGGTCGAGCTCACCATGGCGATAATGCTGGCAAAGTCGCCTCCGTTGGCGTTAGCACCGTCCTTGGCAGCAGCTGCGGCGGATTTAGGCTTGCGAATAGGAGTGCCGCCAGGCGAGTAATCGCCTGCTGCTCGACGAAGTTGAACATTGCCAACGCCTTTCAAGACCTCTTGCAGCGAAGTGGTGGCGGGCTTGACAGGCGTTGAGACTTGCGCTTTGGAAGTGTTCTGCAACAAAGTCAAAGGTGAAGCAAAGCAGTTGAGCAAACTGTCAGGGCTAGACAAGCACGGCGGGGAGATGCAGTCATTCATGGGCAATAATAGAAGCAAAAGCAGAACTGTGGTTTTACCTGGAGACGAGCAATGGGCGCGTGTGCCTTTGCAGGAGTGCCAATCATGCCCATCGGAGGTGGTGGCGGAGGGGCGGGAACTGACGAGTTGGAGTCATCCACAATGTCTGTGATGCTCGCGTGAGGCATGGGAGGCGGCGGGGGAGGCGCGATAGCTGCGATCGATAGAACAAACAAACAAAAGTCATCAAGTTAGATTCAGCGTTGCAACAGTACAACACAGGATGCGGGGGGGCGGGAGAGGCGCGAGTGCCTTACCACCAGGCTGCATGGTAACAATCATGGCAATTTGTTCTCGAAGACGGGCAAGTTCGAGCTCGAGAGCCTGAATCTTTTGGTCGGGCGCGGGAGCTGCGACAACGGCAGTGTCCTCCTGCATGGATGGTGCGGCCCGCCACGTCAAGAACGAAGTTGTCTCGGGCAACGACATCATGTCGCGGAGTGAGAAGGTATTTGAGAATTCTGTCGTGTCAAGACGAACATGCGAAAAGTTAAGAAACGTTTGTCATCGCACCAAGCCGACAATGGAAGAGTGTGAGAGTTCTTACGCATGGCTTCTTCTTGGCACTTGTTGACCAAATCCCTGTGTGGTAGTTGCGATGCATCGTAGGTTAGACGCATGTCGACGCGCTACGAATGAAAAGCACCAACACAACTTCCAAAAAACGCGCAGTTACCGCATCGGATAGAGCAAGTCGAATGTCTCCTTGGTGGGCATCTTGCCGCGCAGCGACGCCGGCAGACGCTTGGCGACATGTCGAATGACGCTTCTCTGAATCTTGACGCGCTGGCCATTGATGACAAGAGTTGGCTGTTTGGGTTTGTTTGTTGGGGAGGTTTGGAGTTTTGGAGTTTTGGTTTTCGTGTATGTTGGGGATTTTGGTTTAGCAAAAAGAGAGGTGAGTGGCTGGATTTTTTGTGGCGGGATGAGTGCGTGGTGACCTTCATGACGAGAGGAATGCTACCAGCAAGAGAGGGCCGACGCCCAGGCACCGGATACGAACATACTGCGTTGCAAATGAAACGGTTTCAAAACGAAACGGTTTTTGTTCGTTTATCTTTTCTAATCTAAACGCCCTGCTCCACGCCCAACCCCCAAACCCCCTACTGCTGTCTTCACACGAATACGGGCGATGGAATCTGGCACCTCCGTCGAATCTGTGCGCCCAGTCTTCGAGGGGACGTCGCTCGGAACTTACCAGCTCAACGTGAATCAAAAAGTGCTGGACGAGCGCCTTCAGAATGGCCACAAAGCCTTCCTCATGGTCGCCGTCGTCGTGCAGGTCCTCTTCGTGGACAATGTTACTCCCGGGCAGCAGTGCGAGCTCTGTCATTGCTCGTGTAGATGTTGAAACAGAAACAAAAAAGACGAAGAAGAGAAGAAGAAGAAGAAGAAAAAAAAAAAAGTGAATGAAACGACTTTTCGTTTTGCTTGGTGAAAAACCGTTTGGTTTTTTTTTTTTTTTTTTTTTTTGTAATTTGAAACCGTTTCATGCTTTTAAAATAATTTCGATTCATTCCCTTTTGCAAGTTTTTTTCCCCTCACACTTGTGACTTTTGTAGTTCAAAACTCTCCATTCTTCTTCTTCTTCTTCTTCTTCTTCTTCTTCTTCTTTCTGGGCAACAGCACGAGCTTCGTCCACATTCACACACACACACTCTATTGCAACTTGAAAGTATCTTTCGTTCGCAGTAGCAGTCAACGTCCTCGTCGAGAACAAACGCTTGAAACGACAAAAACAAAAAAAGCGAAACAACAAAAAACCGTTTGTTTCGAAAAACTTGTTTCTCTCTCCTCACTTCCCACACTTCCCACCCGACACACACACACACATTCATCCAACAATAGTTATGGAGGTCCACGCCGTCGTCAACCAGCTCCATTCGCTGGCCAGCCACCCCGAGTTTCGCGCAACGATTGTCCGAGACCAGGGCTGCCTGCCTGGCCTGCTCCTCTTCCTCGATCATGCAGACCCCAAGGTCGCCGGCATGGCTCTCGAGACGCTGCGTATGCTTTCCGAGTGTGAGGAAAACCGCAGCGTCATGCTGCAACAGACTGGCATGCTCGCAAGCCTCGACCTGCTCCTCCAGCGACCGCAAGAGGATTTGAACCAGAAACGGCTCGTCCAGCAGATTCGCGACAACATTACTGGCGCAACGCCCGCGGTTTCTGCTGCCACCACTGCTCCCGCAACGACTGCCGCCATTTCCAGCAAGAACGCCAAGGCGGACGCCGCATCGGTCAAGGAGCGTGTTGCTCGTCTCAACCAAAACAAGGAAAACTCCAACACCAACGCCATGGCGTTCATGCCAGGGAACAGCTTTTTCCAAGGCGGCGCCAATCGCAAGGCGCGCGTGGTTGTCCTGCAATTCGTCGGCCTCGACGACATTTCGCGACAACGTCTGGCCGAGGACAAGCTCCTCAAGGTGCCCGGCGTGATTAGCTTCACCTTTGACATGGCCAAGGCCCGCGCTACCATTCGCGCTCGCAACGACATCCGTGTCGATCGTATCTGCCACGCTATTGCCAGCACCAAGGTGCTCAGTGCCAAGCAGGTCATCAAGAACGAGTTGGGCGAGGAGGCACTGCTCGATGTGCTCGCCAACGCAACCAGCAACAACAGCAACATTGAGGCCAACACGCAAGCCTCGGAGGCCGCCGTCGCGCCTGCTTCCTCAAACGGCCCCAAGGCTGTTCCTGACTACTTGCCCGAGGAAGAAAATCTGTCCAATACTGCTGACGAGAAGGCCATTGCCCGTGTCGCTGGCCCCAACGATACCAACAGCAATGGTGGCTCGAGCTGGCTTGGCGCAATTGGCAACTTTATGTCCAAGTCATTGTACTGGTAAAACCGCTACCCAGTGATTGGACACTACCACGGCCAGTGTTGAGAAGGGGTGTGTTGCTTTTTCGTCCTGTCTGTGTGCTTGTATTTTTTTTCTCTCTCTCTTCCCCCCCCCCGCCTCCATCCCATCACACTGTAATGCTGACTTTGATGCTCGTGCAACAGCCACAAGATGGCTCGCGATCGAAATCGGCTCCTCTCTCTCGTTTTTTTTTTTTTTTTTTTATTCTTCCCTCATACTGAGGGGAAGGAGGTTGAATCCTGTGTTTTATGTCCTTGGTTTTGTTTGCGTCGAATGTAGATGTGCGTGTGTTGAATCTGGGTGGAATGTGTCATGTGTAATGTTGTGAGAGTCATCAATCTCACACACCAGTATAAACTCTTCGAATTTTTCCAACCCAACCCCTGAGAATTTCCGAAAGGCTCATTCGAAAACGAGAGACGGTGGGGGCACCCGTTCAAAGGCGAATGTACAAAGTCAACATGTATTGATAGGGCAAAGGGACAAAAAGTTCCACACACACGCACACACACAGACAAACTATGGGAGAAGGAAAAAAAAAAAAAAAACACCAATGAATGAAAAAGAAAAATGCAATCACGGTTATTCCTGGACGTCGTCCAAGGTCACGTCGCGCGTGCCTTGTGCATCGACCACTCGGACAGTGAACTTTGGCAAGTTGATAACGAGGCGCTTTTGAACCTCTGCAATGCACATCTTCATCAGCCGAAGCGCTTCGTCCAGAGTGACCTCTAACAAGTGAAAGGAAAAGAGGAGAGACGGAAAGGAATCGAATGAGCTCCAATAACGACAGCCATCAACACGTGGCGGATCGGGCAAGAGATGCCCCACACAACGGCAAGAGAACAAACGGAAGAATAGAGAACGAAACAGAATACAAAACGTACCGGGAGTATAGTATCGATCCAACAAACTGAGCACAAAGTGAGATGCGTAGCCATGTGCGCCAAACGGAACCTGTATGCCAAACATGCCAAGGAAAACAGAGACACACACGTCAAGTTAATTTCGACCAACCAATCCAGAAACTTTGGAGGGGGTGCATGGTGCATGAATGATGCACGTGTGCAACGTGCCTTGACAAGTGCTGCCAAGTAGTCCATAAAGTACAGCTCGGCCTGCTTGTTGATAGTGTCATAGCCTGCGAGCAGAAGGTTAACTTGGTAGGCACCCTGTGATTATTTCATTACATTGAACAACACATGAGTTACAGTGCACGCGCAAAGTGAGTGATGGTGCAAGAGTCAATCTACATACCGAGCTACGCAGGGCACGAGCAAGCTGGTCTCGTGTGTAGTGTGCAGCGGCGTGGGGGCTCAGCGCAAAACCTGATTGGGAAGAAAAAAAAAAAGAACAGAGTTGAGCAAGGAAAGCACCACCCATCTATCCCTCGACGCTGAGCAGTGCGTACTCACCATTTCGCATTTGATACAACTTGATGTTCTTTTGAATAAACTCTGAGAACTGAACGACATCGCCAGACGGGCCGTTGCAAACTTGGAGCAAATGAGGGCTCATCTGAACCATCTTCTCGTGGTCTGCGTTCAGACGTCAAGCGAGTCCACACAAAGCATAGCAAGGCGAAGGCGTGCAGTGAGACCATGGATGCAGTGAGCGAGACAACGCATGCAGCTCAGCAGAGTTGTTACCAGATTTCATGACAACGATCGAGCGGGCGGCCATCGCGTCGGCAGCAGCCACAACAAAGTCCTTGCCGGAGATAGCAATGATACAATCCATGATGGCTCTGAGCACTGGTGAGTTGGACCAAGTTGACTGGAAGAAGCTGATGAAGTTCCAGAAAGAAAAAAAAAAAACGGACAGTGAGTTTTGCATTGAAAGTGACGACGATGACGAGAAAAGGGGAGCAGCTGGAGCGGTGGATGGTGTGAGTGTGGCAGGCAGTTCGCCGAATGAAAACGCCATCTGATGTGAGTGTGGCGGACGCTGAAACGAGGCGCCGGGGGTGGGGCGGGGAAGCGCAAAAGCGGATTGGCATCGAGCGTCAACCAAAAAAGCTCGAGATCGCGAAACATTGGAAGAACGACCAACCACTCCAGCGCAACGCAGCGCAACGCAGCCGCACAAACCCCACGCACAACAAACAGCAATAAGAAAAGCTCAAAAGCAGGTTCAATCAGTTTTCAACTGGGAGGAGAATTCTGAGCAAAGGGGGCGGCAATGAAGGGCGCATCAACATCGAAAGTTTCGGGATTTCCTCACGAAACGCACTGTCAAAGAAGTATGGAGACCAACCTTGTCACTATTTGTAACAAACCATTGCACAAATTTGTATCAGAACATACGATGCGTTGGTGTTTGGCTGCATGGTTGAGCCGAAACTCCAAAAAATAAAAAAAAAAATATAAAAAAAAGCAATCCCAATGCAAACTGCAGCAAAAAGGCTCACTTTTTTTTTTTTTTTTTTTCAATCTTTTTGATTCTCACTCTCTTTCTTCACACAATGTGGCTGCCGTCCTTGACGTCGTCGGCTGCTGTTGCGCGCACGGCCGTCGTCGCTGTGGCTGCACGCTCGTCTGCAATGCTTTCTGGGCCTGCCCGGCCGGCCCCCTCCGCCGCGATGGCGAGATCTCTGTCTTTGAGTGCAGCCTCCTCGGCAATGCTGCTGAGCCAGCGAGGAGCCGGTCGCTTGCCCGCCATGCCCCTCGCAGTCGCCGCCACATCGAGCCCGCTCCATCAACAACAGGTAAGCAAGCTGAATGCTGTGTCGGCCGCTGTGTCGGCCGCCTCGTTGGTCGCTGGTCTTTGGCTGATCCAACGTTTTGCCATCCACATGCGCTTCCTCCTCATCACCATTGCGCGCGTGCGTGCTCGTCCTATGACTCACGTGCACATGGGATTGGATGTTTGTGTTCCCCTTTCGCAGTCACGATCGTTGACAACTGGCCGTCGCATCCGCAAGCTCGCCATCAAGCGAAACAAGGTCATCCTGCTTCAAGACATTTCTGGTAAAGGCGGCACCATCGACTGTCTGTCTGTCTGTCTGTCTGTCTGTCTGTCTCTGTCTGTGATGCTGTGAAAGACTCAGCAACAAGCACTGTGCCGTCTTGTGGTCACCTTGCAGACGTTGGCAAGCGAGGGCAGGTTATCGCAGTCCGACCGGGCTTTGGCCGAAACAATCTCGTCATGTACGGCAAAGCCCAGCCGTTGCACATTTTCCGCCAAGAAACAGAAGCACTGTATGGTCGCGAGGTCTACGATCGTTTCGCCGAGCTCTCCAAGCGGCTTGAGCCCAAGAAAGAGGTATGCATTCGCGACTTGTGGAGCTCTCCGCTTCACGCGCTTGAAACATCGGTTTGTGGGTTGCCGACGCTCCCGCTCTCATTTTTTTTTGCTTGAATTATGTAGAGCGCAACCGACGAGCTTGCTCATTTGGACGACGTTCAATTCGATCTTTCGTGGGAGGGCATCACTTTCTGGATGGCGGAAGATTCTCCCGCCACCACCGCTCGTCTCACGTTTGGCGTGTCCGCCGAAGATGTGATTGACCAAGTCCGACAGCACCATAACGTGTCGCGTAAGTTGCCAGGGCATGTGGTTTCTTTTAGTTTGTATTTGATTTTGTTTTTGTTTTGTTTTCAGCTGTTTGTTTTCAGCTGTTTGTTTGTTTGTTTTGCTAATTTGCCCGCCCCCCCCCCTCTCTTTGTCGTTTTCCTTTGCAGTCGCTCGTAGCTCCCTGCCCGCTGACTTCCCGCCAATCAAGACGCCTGGCACTCACTTTGTGACGCTTCGCTTGACGGACGAGTCCATCACTTTCCTTACAGTCACGATTGATACTCGCTCGCGTGCCGAAATGCGCGACCTGTTGAACTCTGCCGAAGCTGAAGCTGAAGAAGATGAGCCGGAGGAGAACGGCGAAGTCGAACCCACACCTAAAGCGGAAGGTGATGATTTCTTCCAATCGCTGTTTTCAACTCCATCCGACAGTGCATTGCCGCGGTAGTTTAATGCTTGTTTGTTGACCTGGAGATTTGTAACATAATACTAGAAACACAACAATGACTTGATTCGTAATGATGAACGATTCGATGGGGGATGGTTTTTTTTTTGTTGTTGTTATTATTATTTGTGATTGATTTCGTTTGAATGGCTATAGTCGACGGCTCGGGAGGACTGTGTTTTGTGCCTGCTGCTCTTGGTACTTGGCATACGTAAACATCATGCCACTTGCAATACCTGCATGGGTACCAAAGCCAGTCGCGACGATTAGATTCCAGTTTTGGAAAGCACTGAACAACGAATCCGCTGCTTACCAAACATGACGCTCATCGTGTTGGCAAACGACATTGGGACGTTGAACAGCACGGCTGAAAAGATGACGAGTGGAACCTTGTTCAGCGACCCGACGATGCTAACGTGTGAGAGGTCGGGAAGCAAACGTCGTTTGAAAAAAAAAAATCATCATGAGGTAAAAACGATCCCAACAACAAAGAAACAAACAACAACAACAACAACAACAACAACAACAACAACAACAACAACAACAACAACAACAACAACAACAACAACAACAACAACAACAACAACAACAACAACAACAACAACAACAACAACAACAACAACAACAACAACAACAACAACAACAACAACAACAACAAAAAACGCAAACAACATCATCAACAAACAAAAAAAGCCGACTGCAAGCTAGATTCCTGCTTCGCATCATACCTGAAGGTTGTCGGAGAAGTCACATTGATCAGCCAGAATGCGCTCAAGCCAATCCCCGTGCCAACGATGCTAGCAAAGATCATGGCGCCCAAAAAGTTGCTGTCGGCCACCTGCTCGCTGTCCTCGGGATGAATGCAAATTGGAGCAAAGCATCAGTACCAGTGGTGTCCAGCATCATCGCACTGACAATTGCAAAAGACGAGACACAA